CCCATCGGTTCGCTGCAACAGGCCTATCGGGAACGGCTGCAGCTGGACCTTTCTTTCTCCTTTAATCACTTTGTTTTGGTGTCATAAAGCTGTCATAATACATGTAATACAACACTGTGCAAAAGTCAAAGACCATCCTTCAATTACAAGCTATTCATTTTTTCAATGTCAGTAAAAAAGCAAAACCATATTTAAAAGAAAACTACACAGCCTCAATTAAATCCAGGTATTTAGTGTGTCTGTACTATAGACTTCATTCTCTTTTTAGGAGAGTTACTTTTAGTTTTTCAAAGAAATCTGATGTTTTTCCACACCTCCAAAGTTCAGTCTTAAAAGTTGGTTGCATTTTCTGCTTCTCACAATCCAAGTAATCCCAAACACATTCAGTGATCCTTCTGGGATGGTCAGTCCATTGTTCTGAGAACACCAACAACTTCTTTGTTTGGTACAGTTTTTCTGTCTACTTTCTTTCCTCAGTAACGGCTTCTTGACAGCTACACATCCTTTCAGACTCATAGTGTTGAGTTGTCTTCTCACAGTGGAAGAATGGACAGAAACACCTGTGGATTTTTCAGATCTGAAGCAAGAATGGAGCTTGATTTTCTCCTCTCTCTCAAAGCTTTAAGTACTGTTTCTCCAATGGTGACAGTTTTGGTGGTCTGCCAGGTGTTGCACAGTTGTTAGGAGTCCCATTTGTCTTTTAATATTTTTTTCTACTCCAATTTTGGAACTCCTGTTTTCCATTAATTTTTCTTTGTATTTCTCCTTCCTTATCCAAGTGGATTATCTTATATTGAATCTCCTCATAAATATCTCCTGAAAAATAAATAACTTGTACTTAATTGTCGGTTTGACTAGAAATTAAATAAATGAAGGGTGGTCTGACTTTTGCACAATACTTTACATCAGAAAGTGCCCTTCTGAGCCTGTAAGTTAGAAGATCAAAAGGTTTACATGTCCAAAACCACATTTAATCGCAGTACAGTTTGGTTGACAATTGAACCATACTGTTTTTAGTTACACAGCAGTCTTAGTAAATACTAAGCCATTGGTGTTTATGTAACTATAGATAATGTCTCTCTCTCTTTCTAAACTTATTACAGTCTGCTTACTCAGAGGCCACAATAGACTCCTCGCATTTACAACACTCTGATTCTCCTTGCTAAATTAGCTCTGACTTTCTATCTCTTCAGCTGTCTCTCATCTCATCTCATCTCATTTCATTCTCCAAATGGCAATAAACAAAGAGGCCCTTTGTTCCCAAGGCAACAGCTTATACTGACCTAGACTGCTCATGTCAATAACTAGCAGTTATTTATATTTTGTGTCTAGCAGGGGGTATCAGACCTTCTTTAGTTCAGAAGACAGAGACATAACTTCTGCAGGCACACAGTGCCAAGCAATCAGCGCTCCCCTGCAGCAATTCTGCCCTGGACCTGTGCTTTAAGTTTGCCTGACCTTAGAGGAGACGGATGAACAAAAGCGTCTCTTATTAAGGATCAGATCCCTGTTGAGAGGCATGCAGCATTCAGCCATCACCATGGCAGCTCTTGTAAGGGCACCTAGGAATGCAGACCCTGCTGTAAATGAGGGGCTTGCACTGACAGCGCTTCCAGACACAACAAACAAACAACATAACACAACTCTTTACGCTCACAAGCTATGCCCTCTCATGATACCCCATTGTACAACTGAGATGGGCAGCAACAAAGAGACAACAAACCTAGACGTATGAAATCACAGTATTGATGAGTGGCAACAGTTCTGCATTTCTAAAAGTGGTACTTCTCACAAGTGCTGTTCACTCCGCATACCAAAAACAATGAAGGTACTCTTAGACAGTACACCCAAAAACTGCCTGGTTAAAACCAGACCAATTTGAGCCATTTCCTTTGCTGGGTCACTATATAACATAGCACATGCTGGGTTAATCTGACCCAGCATCGGTGGGTTAATAAATAACATGTCATTGGAGTTACCCTGAAACATAGTTACTTTGACCCAGCACTGGGTTAATTTAAACTATTTTGTTGGGTTATTGTCTGATATTTTCTGTTTCCTGATTTCATTTTAATTTTTACATACAAAATTACACAATATTACAATGTTAGTATTTCCTACTTATCATCATTCATGTACAACCCCGTTTTCAAAGAAGCTCAGACACTGTGCAAACTGTAAATAAAAACAGAATGCAGCGATGTGCAAATTATTTAAACCTTAACTGAAAGTAGTACAAAGACAACATATCAAATGTAATACGTGCAGAATGTGGTTTGCATTGTCTTGCTGAACTAAGCAAGGCCTTTCCTGAAAAGACATAGTCTGTATGGCAGCATATGTTGCTCCAAAATCTGTATGTATTGTTCAGCTTTAATGGTGCTTTCACAAATGTGCACGTCACCCATGATGTGCACTAATGCACCCCCATACCATCACAGATGCTCGCTTTTGAACTGTGCACTCATAATAAGCCAGATGGCCCCTCTCTTTCTTAGCCCAGAGGACACAGCATCCATAATTTCCAAAAAGAATTTAAAATTTTGATTAGTCGAACCACAGGACACTTTTCCACTTCACCTCAGTCCATCTTAAATGAGCTCAGGCCCAGAGAAGGCGGCGGCGTTTCTGGATCCTGTTTACATATGGTTTCTTCTTTGCAGTTTTAACTTGCATTTGTGGATGCAGTAATGAACTGTGTTCACAGACAATGGCTTTCAGAAGCGTTCCTGAGGCCATGCTTTGATTTCCACTACAGAATCGTGCCTGTTTTTAATGCAGTGCCACCTGAGGGCCTGAAGATCACTAACAGCCAGTACTGGTCTTCAGCCTTGTCTCTTGCATACAGAGATTTCTCTGGATTCTCTGAATCTTTTTTGATGTTATGTACCATAGATGATGAATGAAGTTCTTTGCTATTTTACGATGAGTAACGTTATTCTTGAATTGTTGCTCTATTTGCCCGGGCAGTCTTTTACAGAGTGGTGAACCCCTCCCCATCTGAGTCTTCTGAAAGGCTCTCTGGGATGCTCTTTTATATCCAGTCATGTTACTGACTTTTTGCCAATTAACCTAATTAGCTGTGAGATGTTCCACCAGGAGTTTACACACATTACACAATTTACCAGTCCCTGTCTCAATTTTTTTTAAATGTGTTGCTATCATCAGATTCAAAATAGGCATTTATTTATTTTTTAATTAAATACAGGGTTTGAATAATTTGCACATCATTGCATTCAGCCAAAAGGTTCATTTTCAGCACCAATTAGAACAAAGTCGGTTAAATGGCCTCTAATCATGTAGCAGCTGACCCAGCTGACAGAAATTGCTAAGTGAACTTCTGTAAAATATACACTTTTTAGTACTTTTCTACTGCTTATTTTATTTCAAGAAATGAACTTGGCTTTGCTAACACTAAATCACTCAATTGTTTGTTTCCACTCCCTTAAAAAGTCACATATTTCTCATGTGAAGTACGCAAAAACCACATGTTTACATGTGATCGCATGTTTTTACACACGTGAACATGGCTTCATATGTGATCGCATGTTTTTTCATATGTGAAAAATATGTGAATATGTGTTATGTTTTTTTGTAAATGGCTAACATTAGCATACCAGCTAACATACACAGCTAACCTAGCTAGCTAACTCACTCTTCTCTCAGTGTATGGTACATTACTTGGGATAAAGTGTTGTTTGTAAGTGTAAAATATTTGTCATGTGTTTGTGTATCTTTGTGTGTCTGTTTTTTATTTTTTGGAAAGTTTTGTCATTTTTTCTTCTCACAGGTTGAAAGAAACATGTCAAAACATCTGCAGCAAACCAAGAAGATGCTTTAATACTAATAAAGATTTGATTTTACTTTAACGGCTTGTCCTTACTGAGCAATACTTTAATGATTTTACATTAAGTAAAACCTAAGTAAAAGACAATGGGCCTCATGAATATCTTCCCACATTTTTCTTAAATCTGTTCTTCAGAAAGGTTCTAAGAAAAAGTCTATGTCAATTCTTACCTAAGAACAAATCCCAAATAAGAAAACATCGGTGAATGTCAGAATATTTGTGAAAACTGAGTAAGTGGGTTTTAAGAAGAAATTCTTCTTAACAAAGGTTGGTGAATAAGGCCCATTGATGTTTAATGTAAAAATGAAAATGAAATCAGCAAACAAAAAACAAGCAAACAAAACATATCAAGCAGTAACCCAACAAAATAGTTAAAGTTAACCCAGCGCTGTGTAAAAGTAAACACATTTTAGGGTAACTCTAATGACTTGTTGGATTCATATAATCCAATGATGCTGGATCAGTTTAACATAGCGTGTGTTCTGTCATACACTGACTCAAATTGGGTTGCTTTTAACCCAGCATTTTTTTTTTTTGAGTGTATATTTTCTAGACATTTCCTTACCGATTCCTGTCAGCTTTGACTTTAACTGGTGCTGTTATGATTTTTAAAGTTAACCCTCTAGCTGGGTTGTTATTATTATTGTAGCACAGTCACTAACCTAATGAAAGGGCTCCCTAAAAACCACCTAGCACTGTGGAACTGACCCAACAAAATGTCCCAACAAGCTCAACCCAGCGTTTAGCTAGAAAAAACAACCCAGCACTTTTTGAACTGCAGGGTTTTTGCCTTCTGCCAGTGTTGTGGAAATTAAAGCAAAACACTTTAGAGGCCCATGTTTAAGCATGCAAAGTCACCCTTTCGTTTTTGGCATGTGTGCTTATGGCATGACAAAAGAACATTTGCCCCATTTTGACAAAACTGGCAAAAGAAACAGACCTAAGTCTTCTGTGTCTTTTTTGCAAAGCTGATTTAAAAAAAAACTGTAGAGTAACACATTGATAAATGACGATTATTATATGTAATAAGTAAAAAAGTAAAAAAATTAAATTAAAAGTTCAATTTAATTTAACTCACTCCTTTAAAAGCTAGAAATAGCAGCCAACTTGACCTGGACAGAGTTCAGTCTGTGACGCAGAGGAAATGACTCACCCAGCACCAGCAGCTCCACCTGGCCTTCATTCTTGCCCTCCAGATCATCAGCGATGATGACCTTACAGAAATACACGCCGCTATCCCCCCACTGCAGCTCTCCAATGCGCAAGTCTCCTTCTGAATGGCAAAAGCAAAATATTAAATGTTAAGTACTGGTTCTGAATCAGCCCAAAACTTTGGCTCTTCAGTAAGACAGTATGTAAAATATGCCACCTCATGTAAGCATCGTGAATCTTCTCTTGGCTCATACTATCTAGAATCGGTTTGGCAAACATGTCATTCATAACCTGCACACAATGCTGGGCATTAACAGTCCTCTGCTTTGTTGACTGGGTGAGGGGAGTGAGAGGACTTTGTTCAGTAAGGGCACGGGGGCAGGGTGTTTGCTTTTGATAAGGAGTGCTGTGGGGGTGTTTTATGTAGCACACGAGAGCAGGAGGGAGCCTACATTGAGGCCAGCTCCTGACCATTGTGTTGTCCAAAGAAAAAAGCATAGCCTATTTAGGAAACAGGAAAAGCAGAGCACAATTGCCAGTGTTTCCTGCGAGGAGAGGCATTACGGAACACCCTGGTGTTCAAGACACATTGGAAATTGTACAGTGATATTAATACTGTACCTAGTACCGTACTTTTGTGAGCGAACTCGGGAGTAATAACTTTTATTTTGCTATACTATTCAAATGTAGTTGCATAATTACAATAATTAGTTACATACTGATTTGGTTCCACAATGAATTACATCATATTCAATTCACAGGCTGTACTGACAGGAACAAGTTTTTACTTCTTGAACTTTTTCTGTTCATTTCTGCTTTCTGATTTCAAAAAATGACAAAGCACAGCAAAAATGTAAGGCAGGGATGCACTGATATATGAACTGCGGGATACTGCTGATATCCAGTGTTTTTCGTGTACAAATCTGCTAATGCCAACATAGTAACATTTACAAAATGGGGAAACTGGGACTAAATTTACCTGGAGTAGTATTACATATAAGTGTTACTTTTACTCGTACAGGGTTACAAATGCAGTAAAATTAATAAAGTATAAGTTAGTAGCTCAGCAGCGCTTAAATATTCTGACCCCTCTAAAATATCCGTTATTAACAATTGGTTTAAAATATCATTAAATCTAAACATCTGTCTGATACCAATACACTTTTTAAGCAAATATCTGCCAATGATTCCTATACCATTCTGATTGTGGAAAGGATGTTTTTCTTTCAGTAATAAGGCTATACAAACAACATCTTTCCATTAAATAAATTATCTCTTCTTCTACTTAAGAACACAAATGTGGTCCTGATTGAAATTTTATAATCTGCAGTTTTGACGGAAATACTCAACCTGTGTCAAAGAGCTGCATAAACATTTAAATATCTAATAAGGAATTAAAACATTTTATTTTGTTATCATTCATATATTGTAACTTTTAAAGTTACTCATATAAATATGAATAAACTCATGACGTTACAAACCCTACTACGAGGTATAAATGTTAATACAGTGATTTTTTTTGGTAAAACAGACTGTAGAGGGACTGTATTGTCCTACCTGCTTTTAGCTTCAGTGCTCAGTGTTAGCAGACCTGCTCAGTTTCTCTTTGCTCAGTACCCTTTGTGCGCCATGTCATATTGAATTAAACAGCTTTATTTGAAATTGTTCAAATTTCAAAATGCATTTTCATACAGTTTTAGTATATAAATCGTAGGCTTTATCTGTACATGATGGTATGTTCAAATGTACAGACTCACTAAGAACAAGATTTGTAAAATCACACAGCGCATGTCTGGATTTAGAGGACATTTAACTACAGCTCAACCAGCCAATCAAAAGACTTTGAGAAGACCTAACTTCACACGCGAGCTCCTTAGATGCGTTAGCCTTGGATGTGATTCCTGCTGACACTGAGCTACTGAGACTGTTGTTGAAAAATACAGATGAGGAGCAAAACTACAGCTGTACAGAAGCGCTTTCCTGCCCTGGAACAAAAGCCACTCTTTTTCTCCACCGCAGCGCTATTCCATCCAAGGTGGCGTTAACTAATTTCTTTTTTTCAAAAACTAAATAAAATAAAATTGTCATAACCAAAACAGTTTGCTATGATTGTTTTAGAAGTGACAAAATGTAATGTTAAATCATTTGTCATTTGTTGTTAATAAACTAAACATAATCAAGGTAAAGAGTCACTCAAAGCAAAAGGATTTTAGTCTGAAGTCTGAGTTGGTTAAAAATACCAAAAAGTGCTTTGAACTCTTCTGACTTTGAACCAGTTCAGTAGAATTATTCATATAAGCACTATTATTCAATAATTATTCAATTATTCACATCACGGTACACTTATAATTGAATATTACCACATATTCTAGTGTTGGCTAACGTAATTAAAAAGTACTTATGATGACGGTGTGCCAAAATAAATAAAAATATCTAGAGCACAGCCCCTGACCTTCTTTAGAATATGAATGAAAGAAGACCTTACGTTGGCTGGCTTACCTTTTACTCTGTAGCTGAAACTACGCAGATGATATCACTGGTTAATAAGTGACCAGGCCAATCCTCTTTTAAAGTTTAGTCACTCTAGTGTCCTCATTCCAGTAGTGCTGTCAACACTACTGGTGCTTTAAGCTTATTCAAATGAAACCAAGGTAGACAGACCTCTCTTAGTGTTATATACTAGCTTTCTGTACTGGTATAAGCAAACTGACCGGTTTGAGTCTACAGTCACATGTAAGAGCAGTTCTAGACTCTAGCCTTGCTGTGAGAGTTATTAAGATAATAGCATTAGGATACATTACTGTTGATAATGGAGATATCTCTGCCTTTATAGTGCTCTGCAAGGGTCAAAGAGGCTCCCTGTCCAGAGGCCACAATACGGACGGTACGACTGTTGTCGGAGCAGTCCAGATGGGCTGTGTTTCCCAGCTCAGAGCCTTGGACCCCCAGTCTCTCAGGGAAGGTGAAGGAGTCGCGGGTGCGGTCTGTACAGTAAGACTTATACCACCACTGCACCACTGGGATCTGGGTGGAGTGGGTGGTGTACTGGCACGGCAGGACTACGGAGGAGAACAGCATGGCAAACTTCCTCTCATCCTTCACCGTCACCTGAACACCTTCGCAGCTCAACACTGAGAAAAAAAGAAATGGAGACAGGAGTTGGATACGATAGCAGACTTTATTCATGGAATTCAGGTCTAATTCAGTGGAGTGGCAAAAACCATCGAGTTACCACAACACATGACCCACGATCAAACAGGAGAATGGCTACTGGAAATATTCCAATATGGAAGAATATGCAGGCGCTTGCAGATACATTTACACCTGCACAATATACAAAAGACTATGCAAATGTAAAAACATTTGGATGGATCTACAATGACCACAAGAACTATCTGGACACTGACCATTTCACAGTTGGTAAATTGTAATAAGGTTCTTCAGGTTACTTCACAAAATGTTTAAATTATATTTCAGAGAAAAACACTTTTAGCACAACATCAAACTGATGGTAGACTCTGTGTGTGGAGAAAGCCTGGAGAAGAATTCCAACCAGACAGTACTAAGACTGCTGTAAAGCACGGAGGTGGAAAGTCTGGGTCTGTTTTTCTTACAATGATGTCACTGAGCTTGTGTTCATTGATGGGATCATGAACTCAGAAGAGACTTCTGTAGAAGTCTGCAAACTGCTCAAATGACAACAATCTGAAACATACCAGGTGCATTTTGAAATAATACTTTGCCAAAAAGAAAACAACATTCTTAGAATAGTCTGTTTCAAATAAATGCCACTTTCTGTTTCCTAACACAACATAATACATTTTTAAGAGTGGCACAAATGTTTAAATACTTTTTGGGGCCACTGTATGTATCCTATGCATCTACATCTAAGTGTAAAAGAAAACGATCACTGTCGTAACAAACATACTATTATAGTAAAAAGATGCATTGTTCATTAGAATGTTAACTTTGGACCATTTCATTTAGAGTTGGCACAACAACACTATAAAAAAACACTTTCATAATATCAATAATGAAACCGTAAAGGAGAATGCACGACTGAAAAGGAGGAACACTTCAGCAGTTTATTGACAAATACAGAGAGAAACACAGCAGAGCAGACTGAACACAGGAATCAAAACCAAACTAAAACCAAAACAAACAACAGAAAACCAAAAAGCTATAAAAACACAGACCAGGAAGTAAACAAAGAAGAGCAAGAAAACAGCCAGGAATGCTAATGCTAAACACTAAAAAAAGGTAATATGAACTAAATAAACACAATGAGGAAGGCAAACAAACATCATTAACACAGACGATAATACAGACTAGACTAGACATGGATAGGTGCAATACTGCGCAAGGATTGAGTGAGTGGTGAGTATATATAGCTGTGGTGATGAGCAGGAAAACAAAATCCAGCTGTTAGTACTCGGGCACGGTGGAGCGCTGGGTTAGCAATGCCAAAGGAGTGTTTGAGGCTGTGGGAAGAGGTGGGCTGGTTGCCTGGTTCGGACATGTTACAGAAACCTTGAGTATCGACTGATACTGATCTAAAACTTCTAACTACTCAGCCTTAAAAAAGATATTCTTCATTGAAGTCCATCACGTAAGATGATTATACATTTCAATACATATTTTAAAAAATCAAATTTGAAGTAAGACACCGAAACTTAAAACTGTATTATAGCCCTCTCTTCTTAGCTCTCTCATCTCTTATTTACTGTCTTACAGGCAAATCACTGTTATCATAGTGATCAACACTGGGTATGTGGTGCATTTTTTCAGAGTAAAGTGGGCAGGAAGGAGGGTGGGGCTTATGTTATTGACAAAGCCATGCTCAAATGACTGTATTTTTTTCTGAAGGCACTTAAATTCTAGGGGTTGTGATTTTTTGGGTTTATTTTTGTTACAGGATGGCATGTTAGATGTTGAAAAAGAAAATACGCAGCTAACAGGATCACATTACACAATGTGGGAGAGTTTTAATTCAGGATATATTTGTTAAAGCATTGGATCAGGTTTGTTCCTATATCTGATCCAGCATTTTTTGCTGATAAAGCCCAACATAGATAACCTGCATCAGATCTACCTCTTTCTTTTGGTTTACTCATCATGAAATTATTAAAAGCATAATGTGTCAAGATGTGCCTTGACTATATCAAGCTCACCTCCCTCTTAGCGCAGAAACAGCTCCTCTCTCCGAGCCAAAAAGAACTACTATCAGCTAAAGATCAGGGGGCAAGATAGAGATGCGATGACCTGAAAACACAAAACCCTAAAAACATCTGGGTTCAGTCATCCACCGTGTGTGTGTGTGCCTGACAATGAAAGAGCATGTTTGTCCAGCTGCATGTGGGAGATTACTGAGCAGCAAGCTGGACGAAATCAAAAGTGCACAGAGAGGTGGATCTGCTGGGTGTGTATGCATGAGTATGAGTGACGGTGTCTGAGTAAGAAGTTAAATTCCAGGCTGTGTGGAGGGTGTGGAGAGGTAGGGGGTTGTCATTTTAGAGAGAGGTCATGGTCTGTCTCACGGTGCTGAGGAAATCACAGGAGGACTGGGAGCAGACAGCACTCTGGAGAATATGGAGTCACACTTCAGTTGGCACTAAGCAATCGGTGGTATAAACTTGATTCTGTGCGTTAGGCCCTTTGAGTTTGACCTTTTATCCTTATCTAAAAAATATATTAAAAAGAAGACAACTCTAACATGCTGTTTACTTTCTCTAGCATGTAACTTACACTCTTACAGGAGAAATCCACTAATTTTGCAAAATTTCATCATAAATTCAACTCTGTAATCAGTCACTCAGAGTGGTCTGAAGTGAAATCATGTATTAAAGAGTCCGATATTCTTTACAATAGTAGTGATAGGAACCAGGGCTCGCAAGGTCTACAGCACAAATATACCCATTTTATTTACTATTCAAAACCACCAGTTAACTTACATGTGCCTTTTGAGTTTTATATATAATGCTGATAATGGTAAAATAAGGATAAATCTGAAAAAATAATTTTCTTAAGTACTACTTTGCCTTACAGTGCCTTGTATGTACCTCTCTGCCATGAATGGATTTAACTTATGGATGAATGGATTTTTACTTATGTCAATATATGTTATACATTATATATGTTATATAGTTTATATTTGACTTAGATCAAAACACATTTTTCACCTTAAACATTTAATGTGATAACTTTCAGTGAGATAGCTTTTAGAGGCATTAAACCCTTCAGATGTCTTGTCTCTATTACCTTGTGAACATTTCTGACTGAGTAAGTTTTTCTAGAACCAAGCATTTCACAATAAACCACTCTGCATGACTTTGTTTACATCTTAATGAGCTAATCATGCATATATTTTGATAATTCTATGGAAAAACTATGATATTTGGAGTGAGGCTATAGAGGAACCAATTTTGATTCCCTAAAGAACCTTGCAATGTGTGTTTTTTTCTTAGAACTGTACATCCAAGCCAAGAACCATTTAGAAACCTTTATTTGTAAAAATACACACGTCCATGGAAGAGCATTAGTATCAGACCTCAGATGCTGATCTAGGGTTGCGATAAGATGTGATGAACTGTGTATAGAATCTTTTTAAATGATGAGTTTCAGCACTATATGCACAGTTTTGGAATCATGCTTCCGTTGGTGAGCCTGTAAAAAACAGCTGGAGACCTGTTATCACTACAGGAGGAGTAACTAGTCAAAACTCCAGTACCATACAGCAGTCAGGACGAAGCTGACTGCTGATATGAGCTCCATTCTATGAGTCCCTCCTTTTGTTCTTTTGTTCCCAGTCTGACTCATTGTTTGGCCCTAGGAGAACCCCCACCCAATAAGACCCCAGTGCAGGAGGGGGGCGTTTAAGTCCCACCAATACGATAAACACATTGGCCCAGTCAGCCGTGAACACCCAATTAGGTTGGAGAGATTTAAACAGAACCGTTACAGGAATCCCTTTCTAACAGGGGGGGAGTGGGAGCGCATAACTTCTGTGAACTTGTTAATGCGAAGAACTAGAAAGTGGTGCATGTTCAGCAATCAAATTAAAAAAATGTTCTTGTGGAACAACATAGTTATTATATAAAAGCGTTACAGTAAAGAAGCAGAGATATCACTTTGTCTGACATAACAAACTCCCTATCTCATTCAGATCAACAAATTAGGTCAAATTTAATTCCACTGACCGCACCCGACCACACCATGGAGATCTTGCATCAGTGTGAAACCAATGGAAGGAGTTTTATTTACCAACAGGCAGTTGCAACATCAGAAAACATTAAATCATACACTGCATGTCTCTTCTGTAAAGCTGATACAAATCAGCTTCATTCCAGCAGTCCCAAACTGAGCCACTGCCTCCCACAAACCTCTCCCACTCAGCCACATTCAGTTTTGAGTCAATATGAGAATGCATGGTGTTGAAAGTTGCACCACTTTAAAATAGAACAACCACTCATTTGTTAAACTTACCAATGCAAATCTAGTAATCCTTATTATTTGTTGTATAACACATAATTAACTTAAGTAAAGCTAGTAAAGAGCAATTAATTTGGATAAGTTCTACAGACTGAGAGTCTGTTGTTAGTTAGTTTTGTTGGTTTTGCTTTATTAACTATTATTTTTCAAAACTTTCATTCGTTCTCTTCACATAATGATGCTATTTTAGTGTTATAGCATATTCTCATGCTAAATGTTAGGTTTGGATGCATTTTACATGGTTTTGTTATTCTTACCATGATGCTGTTTTGGTTAAGGTAATAAGTTTAAACAATTTTATTGAGCAAAGCGACGTTATATGGGGTAATTAAATGAGAGATTTACCTAGCTAAGCTAATGAAAGTTAACCTGACTCATTCAAGAGTGAGCAGAGCTCAATGAAGTAGCTAGCTAGAGTACTGGCAGTTGATTTCAAACTATTTAAAATGATAGGGTTGTCTGAGGTAACCTTACTCGGTGAGGAAGTGTGGATGTTGGAAAATTAGTAACTTAGTAAATAAGTGACTATAACTCAGATATACAGTTATTTAAGCATGAACCTGTTAAGTAACTTTTTTAGAGGCAACAGGTTTACAGTGCACAAGCTGCTGAAGGACAGCAATTGTTTGATTAAGAAGTTGCCTAATGAAGCTACAGCAACAACATAGAGAAACAGTGCTAAGAAAAGCTGTAAAAAAGAGCACTCCATTTTACACAGTTATTCCCAGTGAACAAAACTGAACACTTCCAGACCTGTTCTTACAAAGATACACAATACAGAATAAGAGAAAAACAGAATGAATGTGCTCCTGTGAACAGTCCCATCAGTGAGAATGAGAGGTCAGGAGCTATAGCTGCTCTAAACTCACAGCTAGGTGGCCTAAAAATAAAAGCTGAAGGGGATCAACCTGTTGCTCACTTCTTCTAACCCTCTAACACTCAACCTGCTTCTGGAAACAGAGTGAAAACTCACGTGAAACAAGTATGAAGGGAATCCAGTGGCTCGACAAAACCCTCATTGTCCGAAGAAAAGCAAATTAACGTGAATTCACTGGTAGCTCATCCGCCGTCTTGTCTCGGTCCGTTTCTGTCCTCATTCTCCGTTCACGACCGAGGCAGCGAGAGCAGCAGACTGGAGTGTACCACCTCCAAACAGGGGAGGACTTAGAGACCTCGGACCTTCCTGTCTCATAGACGTGAAGCAAATGACCAAAGAAAACGACAGCCAGAGAGCATCGGCTCGGATTTAAACAGTTTGTGGTAATATCCTTTTTTCTTACAGTGAATTGAGTGAAATAAAAAAGTAGGCTACCGCAACATGGTATTCACTCCCCCCCTCCTCCAACTTAGACCCGTCCATCAGAACCATACTCCAATCTTGCTTTGATTTTTTAAAAATTCAGTTTTTAATCCTCCAACCGGGGCTTTACATTTCATTACAAAGCTGTTTATTGAATTTTTACTAATTTGAAAGTTGCTAATCTTAACGTGCTACACCTTAAACACTCTTTTATTTTGTATCTTCAGTGATTCTGTTTCATATAAAAGATTCATTAGATGGAAATAAGTGTGTATATGAGAGTTACATACTCCACAAACAGGTTAGTGTGTGATTTCTGACAGGTTTGGCAGTTTTCACCACAGTTCTGTTTCAACAATACAATAATAACAGTAATGAAACTGGAAGCCAAACGCAGGAAGTTCATTAGAAAACGCCTTTATTGATCATTTATTCTCATATTTGCACTTATTAAAAGTCATGAGGTCAAAAGATGTGGTTGAATAGAAGAATTAAACTGTGTCAGAATTTAAATATTTAAAACACTGGTGTAAATCAGCGTCCATCTGCAATTAGGCACCTGTTAAAATAAAAGTATACTCTTAGAAATTGGTTCTTCTTGGGTTCTTTAGTAAAGGGAAGTTCTGTACAGAATCAATTTATACTTAAATGGTTCTATGCATGGTGAAAAGGTTCTTCAGATTGATGAAGAATGTGTGGTATACCTTTTGGAAAATGGTTCTATAAGGCACTAAAAAGGCTTCTTCTATTGTTATGAGCTTGACATCATAACAATAGCAGAACCCTTTTCGGTTCTATATAGAACCCTATACAACAGATTCTCCATCAATCAGAGAATTTCACCATGCACAGAACCATTAAGCATGAAATGGTTCTATATGGAACACTAGTGGTTCTAAGTAGAACAGTTTCTTTTACTAAAGAACCTTTGAAGATCCCTCTCTTTTAAGAGTGCACTCCAATACAAAAAAGCAAATTTAACAAAATCGTCAGAGCAACAAAATGACAGCCACAGCGCTGAATCTTCATCAACAGAAGCTGAAGCACATAAAACTGAGCCCAGATCCAGCTTTACAGTCAATGGGAATCAGAAATCACAGCACATTTTTCTTTCTTGTCATGACATATTTCTGAGGGAAGCTCAGTGACCCTTATTCATCTAAGTTGTGTGCCGTCAGATCTGAATGTAAAATGAGCGCACACAAATTTCACCAACAGTTTTGTTATTCATCAGTTTCATCTTTGGTGTATCCCAGTGATTAAACTCACATCTGATTGGAGTGAGTATAGATGTGGGTGTACTAGTTTAATAACCTGAAAAAAGTTTGATTTGTGATTAACTGATCCGAACTATCATTAATCTATAACAATAATGAAAATGAAAATCGAAAATAACTATGATACTAACGTTTGTGCACATGGCAGGCCAGTACAGAAGTGTATGTATTTATTTTACATGCACAGTGATATAAACGAATGCTGCAACTATTCCATGATTCATTCAAAAGACATTACACTGCTTTTATTTTATACTGCTGACACTACCCAAAAAATAAACAATACAAAACATTTTATTCTTTTCAGTCATCATAATTTTAACACTAAAAAGTCAGTAAACTAAAGTAAACTCTGCCTACAAGCACAGCCTCTGGCTCACAAGCCACTTAATGCTGTCCTATTGGTTCCCTATGGGAATATTTCCATGAATTAGCACGTGCTTCATGTAAATGATATGTAAATATGGTGCTGGTAGGAATGCGCTTGATTTCACGCACTGATGCTGTTTCATCATTTGCGCTCAAACTTCTTGTCATATGAAACATTCATGAATCAAATGTAGAGTTTGTATGTTGTTAAATGTTGTCAAGTGTCCACTATTCGGTACACAACTTTGATGAATAAAGGCCAATGTCTCTGAGCTAGCTGAGCGTTTCCATGAATGGTAGGTGGGGTGGTGAGAGGGTGAGGTGGTGTTTTCCACCACGCTCCCTACACTTATTGGTTATAGGTTTTTTCCCGCCCACTGGTGCACAGTGATGTCATTGAAAATCAAAAGTTTTAGAAGTCACTATACATTTTGAAATTTTAAATGATATCATATGATAAATTGTGCTTAATATTACTAGGGACATGAACTGACAAGGTTAAAAAGTGTCCATTCTGATTTTGGGTTTACTATTAAATTATGCATTTATATAAGCACTGAGTGTAGTGTACTGCAGAATACAGTATTTGTATTTTAGCTTCTATATATGAAAGGAGCTACCTGAATCAGTGGGAAAATGAATCTGATCAAAACTAGTTTACTGATTGTGGCTTTGATTTGAATAGTAGAGATCCCCTTAAATTTACTGCAAACAAATATTCCATGTCATCATAAATCATAATACATAAATTTTTTATATACAGAACAAAATGTAACTGCTAGCTTCCTCAGTGAATCAAATGCTTAGCGCTATGGCCACCATAATTACCCATTATACGTCTCCACATCACTTTCTGTGGTTCTGAGACTGCTGTATTGATCACAATCACCACACCAATCAAAATCCTAATGGTTATCCTCGATGACGATCTCTGTGGTCATCATAGCGATCTTGGCGGTCATCATAACGATCTCTGTGGTCGTCATAACGACCCTGGCGGTCATCATAACGATCTCTGCGGTCATCATAGCGATCATGCCGGTCATCGTAGCGATCTCTGTGGTCGTCATAATGACCCTGGTGGTCATCGTAACGATCTCTGCGGTCATCATAGTGATCTTGGCGGTCATTATGATGATATCTGCGGTCTTCATAGCGGTCCTGGCGGTCGTCATAACGATCTCTGCGGTCATCATAGCGATCATCGTAACGATCCCTTTGATCATCATAGTGATCTTGACGGTCGTCAAAACGATCCCTGCGGTCGTTATAGCGATCATCATTGCGATCTCTGTTATCTCTGCGGTCGTCATAGTGATCTTGCTGATCGTCATAGCGCCCTCTGTTGTAGTTATCTCTGCGATGCTCATCTCTCTCGTGGTGATCATCTTCTCGACGGTCAGCAGTTCTTTCCTGATCATCGTCGATGTTAAAGTGGTGATTTGAATTCCGAACGCCGTCCTCAGAGCTGTGCAAGTTAGAGGTTTTTTCAGCTTTCAGTTCATACTTCTCTCTCTGGTCAATGCCCCCTTCAATGCTAGCCCTCCTCAGGTCCAAAGGGTCTTCTTCTTTTTCCTCTTTCTCTGATGTGTCATGGTATTCTATCACTGGAGGCCTAAATAAAAAAAGAGAAAAAACATTCATACTTCCAAGACTCTTGAAAGGTGCACTGTATGTCTAAAAGCATCCACACAGCCCTTCTACTCCATGAATTCAGCTACTTTAAGGTGCAGTAGCCTAACTGCTGACTCAGATGTTCAGTTTAATGCACAGCTGATTTAATCTCCATTGAAAACCATTGCCAAGAGATTGGGATGGAGCACATGAGCCTAAGGTCACTTTGCCCAAGCATTGGCTAAAAGTGTATAAAGCCCCCAGCACTGGGATTTGGAGCGGTGGAACTGGGTTTTCTGTAGTGACAGAGCTCCATCCAATACCTTTGAGGTGAGTTGGAGTGGAGTTTATGATCCAGAACTAATCATCCAACATCAATATCTGACCTCAATAATGCTCTTATGGCTGAATTCATTCAAATCTTCACAACAATGTTCCAACATCTAGTGTAAAGCCTTCTCAGAAAACTAGAGGCTGAGGAACAAACTCCCTATTAATACCTTTGATTTCAATAGAAACATTTGATGAGCAAGTGCCTACAAAATTGTGGACATACAGTGTAGGTGGAAGTCATGGGTTTCCATGTGTAAGGGGTCTTTGTGGTGGGTGCTTACCCCATTGCAAACTCCTCTGGGTTCTCCTTTTTTCTGCAGCAGCAATAAATGATCAGCACAAGAACTGCAATTCCAGCAATGCACCCTCCAATGATGCCTGCTGTAGCACTAATTTTCATGGTGGCTGCAGAGATCGAGTAGATGGCTGTGGTCAGACTCAGTAAAAGTTAACCCTCTTTTCCATGTAAAAATCAAACTCCGATTGATCTGGACACTGCTGTAAAAGTGAAAAATGAATACTCACAAGGCATGACTGCCAAAGTGAGGTTGCAGGTGGCAGAACGAATCTTATTGGTCGCTGTGCATATGTAGTAACCTGATGTGTCACTAGACACGTTGAACAGAGAAAGGACTCCATCGTCTGTTGGAGACAGTTGAGAAAATTAACATCTTTCAGTTGTAGAATAGATCACAGTTGTGGTGAATAAAAAGTAAGCAATAAGTAAAAGACCCAAGAACACACACATACTCTCAGTGGTTTTAGGTGGAAAAGATCTCAGGACGTTTCTGACATCGTAGCTCTGCCACTGATAGGTGGGAGCTGGAGAGCCCTCATCAGAGGCGCAGGTCAGGCTGATGTTATACCCATACTCTGCAGTGCCTTTAATCTTACACACAGGATCTGACGGTGCAACTGTCAAACAGAAGCAGAGAACACTGTACTACATTAGGTATTAAAGGTGTAAAAAAGCATGATTTTGGAATGTAAGAATCATTCATATTCAATTATAGTAATATTCAATAAAGTATGCAGTCCTTTCTTGCCAAAATGAATTCTCAGGCTATTTTCATTCATAAAAACCTTGGTGTACTGTTGTCATCATCTACATACTCCTACATTATACTTCACTGTATAATTTAAAGACAATAAAAGGTGAAAAAAGTTATAATCTACTGTAAACATGTTAATTACTGTTAAACACTTCCAGCATGTTGCTGGATACAGGTTTAAAGCTTCTTTCTGCTCTTTGTTTTGTTCATAGATACATTGTATTTTATTGTATTGGTAGTTTTTTCGACTTGAAGAGCAGTAGTTAAAGGGGAATTCACCTCATTTTTTATTATTTCCACAAAATTAAACTAAAATGTAAAAGTCATTCAGAGTAGTTTCATGTCAAATGGTCCATTCTAGAGAAACTTTCCCAGTCAGAATTGTTCATAGTGGTGGTGATAGGAACCAGACGTCTAAAGCGTTTAATGCCTCTAAATGCTCCCTCACAGAAAGTTGAACATGAAATGCTACAGATATGTTTCCTGATATCTGAGACATTGTTTTACAGTCATTTTGAAATAAGGTTTTCGTTTACAATGTAATTTTTAAAAGCTGAGGGTATCTGAAGCAAATAAAATGGCTATTATGCTGTAATAGAGATTGTGACCTCTGATTCCTATCACCACCATTGTAAAGAATTCTGAATCCTAAATCTTCTCTATAGTGCATCTCACATCCAACCACTCTGAAGAACTTTGTTTACATCTCAACTATTAAATTATGTCGAAAAATTTAAAAATATTTAACACTCTTAAAAAAGACGATTCCTCAAGTGTTCTTTAGTAAAGATAATGGTTCTATATAGAATCATGAACACCTTTGCATGATTAAAGGGTTCTTTGCATCATTAAATAGTTCTTCAGAATGATGAGGAATATGCTGTAGATTTTTGTTTTTGAAAGGGGTTATATATAGCAGCATATGGTTCTTCTATTGTTATGATGTCAAGCCTATAACAATAGAAGAACCCATACAGAAGAAACATATAAAACACATTTTCCATCAGTCTGAAGAAACTTTAATGATGCAAAGTACCCTTTAATCATGCAATAAAGAAACCTTCAAGAGCCATCTTTTTCAAGTATTGGCAACTAGCACTGGCTAATACTGTGTTGGGTTGTTGTTCTGTATGAAGCTGTGTAAATAGTTCTTACAGTGACATTTGTACATTCTGTGTATTCAGAGATTATTATGCATCTATTTGAAACCGAATCACTAGGAGGTCAGAAGTGTTCTCTCCACACTTCACAGATGATGCAATAATAAAAGCTTAAACCAGACGCTGATACAAGTGTGAGCAGTTACACTGACATTAATTAATATATTCTCACCCAGGACCACAAGCGAAGTTGTGGCTGAAGTTTGTCCCACATCATCGCCAGGAATCTGAACTCGACATTTGATGCGTCTGTTCTCTCGCACAGTGACTTGTTTCAGTATTAGTTGTGAGATTCTTGCATCTACATCACTTGTAATCTGGGCTTTGCCCTCATACATTTGATTAATGTCTACATGGCCATCGTCAGAGTAAAAGGTCCCAAAAGAAATCTGTATTGGAAAGGGAAGAAATGTAGTTTTGTCATTTGCAAGGAACATTTTCTGGTATGCAACAAAAAAGAGGAAAGCCTTCAAAATAGGACAAAATTGTTTTTCACTGCATGCCGTGGTCTCTGTGGATTAATAAGAACCGTCACAGTGTTGTCTCACTTACCCCTTCATCATCAAATGACCCATCAGGTTCGGCAGTCCACGTGATGACAATAAGACGATTCACTTGGTTTTTAGGTTGAAAACGACATGTGATGTTGACCCCCTCACCTCTCACAACTTCATATGTGGACTGTGAAATAGTAACATCCAAGCCAAAGGAAGAAGAAAGCACTGCAGACAAAACAAACCACACAGCAGGCATTTTTACAGTGTCATACTCAGAAGTCCACACAATGCACTATATATTGATTTTCTTAAAAAAGGTTAAAAAACGGTCAAAAAACTACAGATCTATAAGCATTGAACTGATGAGATGGGATATAGACTAGTATTTCTTATTAGTTTCAACATCTCCCTCTCCAAATAACGTATAGAACATCCCACCAGTATCCAGTGCACAAAATGGAAAGTTCACAGTCAATACTTTCACATTTAGTGGGGAATTCCACCACACAGTATAATTAACTCGCTAAAAGTTAACTCACAGAATGTTCTTACATGTAATGGAGACATAGTTTCTATAATAGTTTTGAGATAAATCAGTTTTTAAATCATTTATTTTAGAAAAAGACATGCAGGGTGTTATATGGCAAAAGACCCAATGATTTTTTTTTTCAGATTTAGCACTATTTCACCATTATTTACATTACATTTTAATACTCAGAAGCCACATGTGGGTTCACTGGTTGCTTTAGATAGTAAATAAAATAGCTACATTTGTGCTGTAGACATCACAACCCCTGGTTTCTCTTACCACTATTGAAAAGAGTTGGCAAGTTTCTCTACAAGGTGCCATTTCATCTTAAACCACTCTGACCATTCTTATATCTTAACCGTTGAATTATGCAGAAATTCTGAACATTTGGTGGATTTCCCATTTAATTCATACCTAATGAACACAAAGTTGGACATAGGCTAAATTGTTCCTTTAAATCTCTTGAAAAAATAGCTTTCCATTTATTCATTTACATCGTTATTACATTGAAACTGTAAAGTTTGTGAAGTAAAAATACTTACCATTAACATTATTCATTATTTACTTATTATTTCATTAAAATCAAGTCTGTGAAACTCATAAGTGAATGGGCGGTTTGGCCTATTCTGCCACTTCCTCTCTTTACTAGATAACCCACTCGAAAACATGTAGAATGGTTAGAAAAACATTAGAATGAACAATGTAGATACAAAACTGATATTGATAGATGGCTTTATAAATCATAATTATTAAGCATTTGACTCAACACATATATACTGTGCATACTGTATTATAAGCTGAACCGATAAAAAAATCCTGAAAGAACCATCAGAATATGGATAAATATCATTTATATCGTGAGAGAATTACTGTAACACCCACTTCTGTCATCATTTTTTTAATAAAATTACACAATGTCTATGTAAAATATACACAAAAGACCTAACAATTTTAATAAGAATGCTAATAGTAATATAATATAAAGTCACCTGAAAGCAGAACTCCAATTCCACAAATTCTTAGTTTCCACTTGTCCATTCTGCTTTGTCTGATTGTTCTAATCCACGGCAGTTATATTCGGTCTTGTAACAGAATAAATAAGCTTGACGGTTTGGTGTCTGCACACTTCCTTATGACTGCTCGGCCTATAGGTGTGCCAATTAAAGCAGCTCCATCTGCACACTACACACCTGCCACACCTTTTCACCCTTTGGACTTTCAGTGAACTCACCTTAAAAAATGTGACAAGAGCGCACAGCTACAAATCCATAGAAGTGATGTCACATTCTCTATTTTCTGACTTAGAATCAGATTTACAGATGAGATACAGATGGCTGCTTTGACATTAGTCATAGTAAAACACATGAACATCAAAAAACACATAAATATGATTAACATAAAACAACACATTTCGCTCTTATAGTCATATCAACTGCTGTTTTCATCAGGTAGGGAGATTCTTGTCAGTAGCATTTCAGGTGAATATCTCGTTACGTATTACATATTTTTCCAGAAATTCAAAGGTAGACATGAGCAGTTTTAGCAGTATGAGCAGTACACTTAAAAAAGATGGTTCTTCAAGGGTTTTTTAGCAAAGACATTGGTTCTATTTAGAACCATATGTCCTATCTAGAACCACTTCATGCTTAACCGGTTCTTTGCATGGTGAAATAGTCCTTCAAATTGATGGAGAATGTGTTATATATGGTTCTACATAGAACTGTTTTTACCATGGTGCCCTATAGCACCAAAAAACGTTCTTCTATCATTACGATGTCAAACTTGTAACAATAGAAGAACCTTTTTTAGTGCTATATAGAGCTATTACCCATCAATCTAAAAACAATTTCACCATGAAAAAACCATTTAAACATGAAATGGTTCTATATAGAACTCATGGTGCTAAATAGAATTATTGCCTTTACTAAGAAAGCCTTGAAGAACCATCTTTTTTAAGTGTGTGGAAATACAATCCTGCAAGCAATACTTGTTTACTGCAACCTGTTTATCCCCCTATGACCTACTGAACTGCAAGACCTTTTCTAGCCAGCAGATGGCAGTCCAGCCTTGCCATCAAATCCCTGTGGTTCGTTTAAGATCATTAAAGAGCTCAATTCATGGAAAATCATATCTTTTTGCTTTAAAAACCTTTGATGTAGTATGTAAGCATTAAAAAGCCTGATTAAAGGGATACTGAGAGATTGGAAGTGATCATGTAGATTGGAAATGGTTGAACATTTTTGGTATATAAAACCACACAAACAACATGATTGGACTACCAGGAAAAAAATAAATAAATAAAATACAAGAAATGTATGGGATGTGAGATGTGTATTTAACTTTAATGAGATATTAAAGTTAAAGCAGCACTATGTAAGATTTTGTTTTCAAAGACATAGTGTTACTCGGTCAGGAGGGAAAAACAAACATGGCAAAAATATGGTGTGCAGGTGCTGCTGCAAGTCACTCTGTAAAGCCTGAAATAATCATTTATAAGTCATAGGTGTTGGGTCAGATTTCACGGCTTCACAAATTTTTTCGGATGACGTCATACGTCGATCACATGCAGAGGCTCAAAAGGAAGGTCTGGCTCGATTTTTAGGTGTCAAATGCACAATCAACATTATACTAATGAAGATGCAATGACAATAGTAGAAAGTTCACTTACATCCTCAGAAAACACATCCTTCACCAAGTTTTGATTAAGTTCTCTTTAAATAATCTTTCAACATACTTGCAGATTCAGATTCATCCTCACTGGGGTCTGAAGCACAACTCACATAGCTAAATGTTCCTCAAAATGTAACTACATGCAGTTACACATTACCATCAGAGAGGTCTCCAAATCCCCAAAGCTACATAGTGTAGCTTTAAGCTCTGATTTGTGGCTATGCATACATTTTGATATGTGGATGCACCTGCACTTAGTCCTGGTCTAAACTGGACTGTTCTCCCAAAAGAACCTTTTTGGATGATATCAGAAAAGTGCCCTTATAAAGAATCCCTTCAGACTGATTGCCGTAGTGGATCTTAATACAAAGTTGCTAATTTACATCCCATAGCAGGTAATTGACCATAGGATTAATTTGAACAAAATGAGGACATATCATGGTGGACATATTACAAAGTTGTAACATGTTAACAGGTGTATGAAATCAAGCTCATAGCCATGCAATCTCCATAGACAAACACTGGCAGTAGAATAGGTTGTACTGAAGAGCTCAGTGACTTTAAATGCACTATCATAGTATGTTACCTTTGCCACGAGTCAGTTTGTGAAATTTCTGCTCTGCTGGATCTGCCCCGGTCAACTGTAAGTGCTATTATTGTTAAATGGAAGCACCTCAGAACAACAACAGCTCAGCCATGAAGCAGTAGTCCAATCAAATTCACAGAGTGGGGCCACTGAGTGCTGAAGCACTTAAAAACCACCTATCCTCTGTTGCATCAGCCACTATGGAGCTCTAAACTGCATCTGGGAACAACATTAACACAGGAACTGTGCATTGTGGGGATTTTCATGAAATGGAGCATGCCACCACTGGACTCTGGAGCATGTGTTCTCTGGAGATATGAGTCATGCTGGCAGTCTGATGGACCAACCTGAGTTTGGAGGATGCCAGGAGAATGCCACCTATTGAAATCCATAGTGCCAGTAAAGTTTGGTGGAGGAGGGATAATGGTCTGGGGCTGTTTTTCAGTGTTTTGCCTCAGCCCCTTAGCTCCGGTGAAGGGTAACGTTAATGCTACAGCATACAAAGACATTTTAGACAATTACATACTTCCAATTGTGTGTCAACAGTTTGGGGAAGGCACTTTTCTGCTGCAGCATGATTGCTCCGCTGTGCATGTAAGATTCCATAAAGACACTGATAAAGCCGCAAAGATGGGCCCACTCCATATTAATGCCCTTGATTTTGGAGTAGTATGTCCAACAAGCTCATAAAGGTGTAATGGACAGGTGTTCACATACTTTTGGCCATACAGCGCACTTTACATTATAAGACTATCCAATGTGACATTGTCAATAGACCATCAGTTAAGCAATTCTCTAAGAACAAGAATGCTTGTACAATGAACAGTCTTCTTCACATGATTTGAAGAGTGTGAGTTTCACTAGACTTTGCAGTGGCAGGTTAAAAGTTGACCTGTCATAATTAACTGCTAAATTCAGAAATTACTTTGGCCAAAGATCATCTTTTCATGTTCAAATAAAAAGAAAATTTCTGAAAATATTAGAACTTCTTCCAGGCGATATTGTAGACTAAACCACAGCCTGCCTGTTGATCATTGTTAATGATGTCAACCATTAAGATCCAGTCCTCTATCACGGGCCACAAGAGAACAGCTCTCAATGGTAATTTGGCAGAAATAAACAGCATCAAAAAGCAAAATACTTATGTGGTGCCCGTATCCAAATACTCAAATGATATAATTGATTTAGGCTCATATTCTGTCTAGTCTATCTTGGAATAATAATGATCATGAATCTCTCTGCTCTAAATCTGATCCTGACTACTGGATTACTGTACTTTGCGTACAGGGTGAAATATAGCCTTCAAATACAGCATCATACACTGTAGGCCTTATTTTGGATATTACAACAGACATTACAAACCAAGAAGCAGGCCTCAGAAACATGCAATCACAGAAAAAGTCTAGAAAAGCTAGAAGACACTTTCATTGGCAAATTATTAAACTAACAATATCCCTGTTAAATCATAGGCTACTTTTAATTTTAACAGAAAAAGCAATTAACAAGTGTTAAAAAGTCTATTAATGGATTACAACTGAATAATACATTTGACATACAGTTGAAAATGGTCTTATTTGCTACTCAAAGAACAAACAAACAAAACAAAAACAAAACAAAAAAAACAGTCTACTTTGAATCAGCTCAGTGTTTAGAAGGATATGCATACTTTATTAGATGCTAGCAAGTATAATCCTGTAGTAGCAGTATGGCCTTTAAAGAAACAATGGAAATTATTTTATAGTAGAAGGGGTTGCAGGTTGAAGTAAATACAATTAACATGGGGTTTTACCACAAGGGATTACATTTTTTAATAAACATAACTGAACTCTTGGCTTGGGATTGTGCACAGTAGGGTGCTAATGTTGAATGTGGTTGCTATTTGTCATTGTTCAATATTACACCAATGTGACTCATATCATTTCCTATACATACAATAAAGCCACTACTACTAGTTGTGGCACCACTGCTGCTACTACATCCATTGCTGCTGCTACTACTGCTATTACTACATCTACTACTACTGCTGCCAGTACCACTACTGCTGCTACTAAAATGTCTGGGATTTGGCATGCTCTGCCCCGCACCACCCTACTGCCAAAAACATGGTCAACCTACTACTGCTACTAATGCTGCTACCACCAGTACTGCTACTACCACTCCTACTATTACTACTGTTATGATAACTACTGCTAGTAATACTGCTACTACTACTTCTACTGCTGCTATCACCAACACTGCTACTACAGCTGCTAATACCACTACTGCTATAGCTATTGCTGCTGCTGCTACTACTGACATGAAAGTAAATACAGTTCTTCTGGTCTGTTGTATATCTTAAGTGAATTTTGGCCATTGTATATCCTAACTGATTTCTGGTACAAATGTCAAAATTTTGAGTGTTTTGAAATAATTACTCATTTTCTCTAAATATTAACTTATTATCTCTAAATAAAGTTTGAATTTGGTGTCTCGAAATATTGACTAATATTAAAATAACGACTTTTACTTTGATTTTGAATTAAGGTGAAATTCCAACATCTTACGTCGAAACAATAAATAGGCAATTATTTGGGGATACATCACTTAAATATACTAAGTCATTATTTTTGAGAATAATAATTATTTCGATATGTAGTTAAACTTTTGAAAACTGACATTGCAGACATTGCAAGTCAATATTAAGAGAAAATAAAAAAAAAACAGAGGTGGTCTTTTTATTTTATCTGGCGAAAATGGGCTTCAGAAAAATGTTTAATGTGAAAGTGAAATAAATCATAATCGTAAATGGACCCTTAGACTTTAACCTTCTTTAAAGTTATCAATTGTTTCATAATGTAAATGTAAATATACATAATGTATTTAAATGCATCCCTTCAGCGTTTAGGGAGAATATTTAAGATGTTTTATTCAGGCGGCCGCTGCGTTTAAGTGAGTTCATTCAGAGGTGTTTGAGTGTGTGAAGTTCACAGTCAGAGTGTGTGGGTGTGTATTGTGTGTGCGCATTGTGTACACTGTGTATTGTGTTTTGTGTGTGTGTGTGTGTGTGTGTGTGTTGTGCTGCTGTCTGTTGGGCTGGGATCGGAGTTTAAATATTCAAAATGGCGGACGGAGGAGCAGCGAGTCAAGATGAGAGTTCAGGAGCAGGTAATCATTACTGCATTTTACATATTCATATTCATATTCAAACGCTCTTTCTCTCAAGCCCGATAAGCGGAGCGGAGAGCGTAAACAAGCCGCTCTCCGGGCCGCGGCGGCGGCGGCGGGCTGGCGGCCGCTCGCAGCCTGTCGGCGGATCATTGAGCGGGTGTGAGGGGGAACGCGGCGGTGCAGGGCGAGGGCACATTAAAGGCGAAAATGCCCTCCTCTTTGTGTGATCAGAGCGGCGCCGAGCGCCTTACATATTCATATCGCCGACTAGCAAACGCGGTTTAGCATATTTTATTAGTAATCGGCCACATCGTACCGGGTTATTTGTCCCGGGCTCCAGCCAGCGGTTGTAGGATGATTTTTTCTTCTTCAGTGTTGTGAGGAGCTGGTGGCCGTAGCTAGCCGGGCTAATGCTAATCCAGCGGCGGCTTTGTGTTTTTGTATTGTGTGCTGGGAGCCTATGGCAGATAAAAGCTTTGCATATTCATTTCCTCGGTTGCGCGTAATGTTTACGGTCGTAAATGTGAGCCTGCCGAGCGGCGGAGGGCTGTTTGGGGTCAGCTACATGGCTGGAAAGGCTTTAAGGCTGATTTTTATGCCCATATTCCCTCTCTTGTGTCTTTGTGCCCCTCTGCAGCAGCAGCAGGCTTGTGGCCCCGTTGAGTGCGTTATTCATGCGGGCCTGTTGTAGAGCAGAGAAATGCGCCGTTCAGCATATTCACCATGAATCCGCCTCATTGTTGGAGCTCGGCACGAAACGTTTCGTGCTTATCTGCCTAAAAACGGCACGGATAGCGTTTGACTTAAAGAAACGCAGGCATCGAAACGTTTCTCTTTGTGTCAGGGGATCTTGACGAGGCTTCTTATTCGCCAGCTTCTTGATCCAATCTTGCCGTTCCACCTTAAATGGTGCAGCGATTATTATTATAACGCCTCAGGCGCCAGAATGTAACTGCTGCACCATTTAAGGTGGAACGGGAAAATTTGAACAAGAAGCTGGCGGATAGGAGGGCAGCTTCAGCCTCGTAGGATCTTGGACGTCTTTTTCTTTATTAAAACAGCAGTCTGATTTACAGTACGTCCATGTAGCAGTCAAATAAACATGTATTATGCAGATTGTAGCCGCGTTGCCAGGTGTGTCCTCGGCTACACTTGGGTTTTTAAGTTTGCTGCCGGCTTGTTGAATAGCTTGACTGTACTGTTAGCCAGTTTGACCGTATTGTAGCCGGACAGCAGCTGCTGATGCATATGTAGCAGGCCAGCTAGCGGCTGAATGCATTTCACTTCATTAGGCCTGACTAGCCGGGGCACGAAGCGGCTCCGCTCTCTGTTTCATAGCTGTTGTCTTGTTATATCACTTTAGATAGAAGCCTTTTTATCCAGAAATCATAGTTGGCTTCGCATATGCATTGTTTTTCACATAAAAGCAGACTTGAATAGACTTCAGGCTGTTGAAACGCGTTGACGTCCGTTTGTAAAACGTTGTCTAGATGTTTTACTTCCACAGCACAGACTACAATTCAACACTAAGCACAGACGAATTTGCATTAACTTCTCTCTCGCATTTTTAAAGGGACACTTCAGCCAAAATAAAAACATTAACGGTCGCTACCCCTGTTATAATCATGCCTGCTCGCTTCTTACAGTAAGATGTTCCTGGTTTAAAGACAAGGACCCCCTTCTGACGTATGTTGAAGGTGTGAACACATTTTGCCAAAGTGCTCTGGGGTGAATGCTTGGGGGCTTTTGAAATTCTTCAGCTGAATTATTCCTTTAGCAAGCACAGAAGTTCTGTCCCCAGTGATAGCTAGAACCACAGATCTTTTTATGTTTCTCGATCAGTGGCAGTGTGGATTACCAAGAGTTGTGGGATGTGTCTGCTCAGTGTATGCTGGGTACTGTAGTGAGAGAAAACTGAAATACAAAAATTGTGTGTTTGTCAAACTGTTGAGGGGGCAGACTACTGCATTACGCACCAAGTGACATGTTAAATGATGGTTCTAGGCCAGAATTTCCATTTACAGTCAGTATTTCTCTCTCCAATTGTAAATGTTTCATGTGCCATCTGGGAGAGAGTAACTGATTTCACTGTGATTTCTTCTCTCTCTCTCTCTCTCTCTCTCTCTCTCTCTCTCTCTCTCTCTCTCGTTTAAACTGGCTGCTTTAGCTGCATTGGGGGGAGGTGTTGGTTTGCGATTAAAGAATGCACAGGCTTAGGCCCATTAGCCTGGGGCCTCATTAGAAAGTCTAATTTTGGGAGGTGTCAGGGGAGAAGAAGAGAACCGCTGTCCTGAAGATAACACGTAGATCAGCTCAGAAAGACATTATGTTGTGTTTGTATTGAGCCTGGCTCGCGAGAAGCTGTGGCAAGCTGCAGCACGTTTGTGTGCTCCGTTAATAACTTATTGCTGTTTGCACGACAGAGGCTGGTTTAATTCATTCTTTATTTATTTTTTTTTGTCCCATGCAAAGGGAGGGAGTATTTAAAGCTACAAGGAGGAGTTGAAAACAAGTGGCAGCCCCAGCACTGAATGGTCTGAAACACTGAACAAAGGCCTACTAAAATGAACAGACAGAGCCATGAATGTAACCAGTAGGCAGCAGCAAAACCTCTAGCTTTTGTCAGTATGGGGTAATGGCATAATAATGTACAGGCTTGGAAAACTGATTGCACTATAGCAATGACTGTACATTAGTGATTGTGGTTTAACATTAATTAATAGAAAGTGTTTACATTTGATGCTCAATTAATTCTTATTTTCAACAGACATGAAAGGGAACTTGGCTGTGTTCAGTAAAAATGTGCCTCACTTAAAGTTAAATTATAAATCTAGACTTTAATGGGACAGTTTATTGCTTATTTAACAGGTTACATATGAATTGTGCAAAGTTTTGGGCCAAGTTTTTGCACAAACATATCCATGCTCTTATGGTGCTGTTTGTTTGATGTGTGGTAGACTTGGCCAAAAGCATGTAGACACTTTCAGTTTTACCTGGATTATCCTACGACAAATTTCTTGACTAAGAAAAGATATTGTACCTTATAATACTAACTAAATGTAAGAGCTTCCAAAACACTAATAGCCTTCAGAAGACCGTCGAATGCCTTGAGAGGCTTTACAAGTTTCCTTTAGTGGCTGATGTAAAATAACTAGGAAGGCAGATGATATGGAAACTGGCCCATGACAATATCCTTTGTTTTTTTTATGTACGTATCTGCCAATGCCGATACACAAACATTTACAAAATGTAGACGTTGTAACTAAATCCACCTGGTTTAGCATTGCAGAGAAATGTAACAATTATTTGTTGAGGATCACAGGTGAAAATAAAGTGCAGACATTTTAGCACAGTAGCCCGACATCACCTAAACATTCTGCCCTTCCAGATCACAATAAATACATAATTAAATATCAGTCAAATCTAAACATCTGTCTAATGCTGATATATATATATTAAAGTAAATATCTGCTCATGCAGATATGATTCATATAATATAACCTTGCTAATACCTTCATATTCAATATTTAGAATTTGCATGTCAGACTACTAAAACAAAGATGTGTACCAACATGTCAAATTGACCTTTACATTACGTGTAGCCGTCCTAAATAGATGCTAAATTATGTGAAATGCCAAAAACATAGCAATATTTGTTTTATGTATATTAGGCTTAAATGGTCTTGATGGCTATGATGTGCCCACCCTACCTTTTCCACTTGAAAGTGTCCTCTAAATTAATTCAAATGTGGAATTTGCATGTGATTAATATACTCTCAGCACTGTTTATCTTCTTTGTGGCATTCGGTCCTCCTTTCAATAAAACACTCCGCTAATGAGTTTCATATTTAAAATTCCATATTTAAAATTCTATCAACCAAGATATTTGCATAATATCATTATGCTGATGGCTTGTGAAAGCGTGGCAGTTGGGAGGGTTATTTTCTGCTCGTTTCAATGTTGTTTTTCACTTTGGCTTTGGTACAGTTACTTACTTTGAAGCCTAACTAAAGATGTGTAGTTGCCTGTCTTGTTGACTGTCTGCCTTTCCCCCCTATTTAGTCTAAGTCTGATATACAGTGAGGAGTCAGTGTGTTGTTTAGATTTTAATCTGTGAGAAATCTGACACTTGGAGGGGATGAAGTCTCATGTTTAGGGGTAAATGGAACATCTTTGAGACATTGAGGTTATCGTGGTACTCCAATTCACCCTTCGCACATTTTTTAAAAAGCTCCAGTAATTTGCCTAATAAAGTCTATGAATAAACATACACTTGCTGCGACACTCTGCTGGCAGAGTAATTTGCAAGAGTGAATTAACTTCTTAAAAGAACGTCTAATGGGATCTGAAGTTAATCTGGATATGCTAATCGCTACGCGTGTCCCATGATGGAATTATGCCTACAGAATTGGCTGGATTCGCTCGCTGGAGTGTTGAAGCCGTAGGGGGGCCATGACGGCGGCGCGGAATGTCGACTCGTTGTTGGACCAGCGCAGCGCTCCAAAGAGGTTCCTCTTGCGCTCTATGGATCCTAATAGTTTTTATTTCCAAAATCTTTGCCTTTTAATGCTCGCAGGTACCTTGTTTACCTGTCCTGCTAATTGGAATGCCTGCACTCTGCTGGTAATTGGGCCTGCGTGGGCTCCGACTGCACTGTTGTGCTGAGCTGTAGAGGTTATTTCTTTCCACCCTTCTTTTCCCTCCAAAGCCATCCAATTAATATGCTAATGAGCTGATAAATATTTATGAAAAATGTAAATTATGCAGAAAGCTTTCAGAGCGCTGTGTGAAATGAATTGCTTGCAGGACTTCAAAGTGTTCGCCGCGCTAACGAGGCAGAGGAGGATTTGCATACGACTTTAATCAGCTGAATACTGATTACGCTTCATTATGGGCGCTGCCAGCTGCACTCTTTGTTTCTGTTCCATTCCAGGGAAAAAAAAAAAAAGAAGAAAAAAAAAGTTTTTCACACTCGAGCTGTCGTGACGATCATGGCAGTAAGTGAGAGAGCGAGCGAGCGAGAGAAAAGGAGCGGCTGGGCGAGGAGAAGCGCTCTTCTCTGCAGGCTTTACTGTATGTTGGTGCGTTATGCAGCAGACCGTGCAGTAGTGCGCCTTTGTTGGTGTTTCTTTCCTTTCGGGCTCTGTTGGCGTGAGTAACTCAAACGGAGAAGCCTCTGCTGTTCAGAGTGGGCGAGTGCGACTCTCTTTGCGGTGTGTGAGGTGAAAGAGTTGCTGTGGATGCTCATGGAGACCATGCTGGAGAGAGCAGGTGCAGCTGTGGCTGGTGAGTGGGACTGTAACGGTGCGTGTGTTCGTTCTGAATGAAATCTTTTGGTGAGGAGTAAAGTACAGAGAGAGCATCTTTGCTAAGTAATTTGAGCTCTTTAATTTTTAAAAAAATGTAATAATGGTGTTTGAGCATCTCAGTGCAGATGTATGCTGGATATGGAGGAGCAATGGGGTTTTTATGCAGATATGCTGACGATCATATATATAGTGGTCATGATACCAGTTTTGAGTTTGATACCAAGTACAGTATTTTAATACTTGATACCAAAATGATATTGTAGCATTGAGGTGGGTGATAAGGCAAAAATGAAGGCTGCACGATACTAGAAAAAAACTGACATTGCAGTATTTTTTTCCTGTGATATATATTGTGATATGAAAAAAATCCACTTGAATTTGGAGAAAAATAATAATTCCAATAAAATCAATATATATTGATTTAAATAAAATAAAAAATAATAAAAAAATGGCTTTTTACTCTGGAGACTTTCTCTGAGTGCGAGACATCTTTTATTGAACTTTAATGCTATACAGTTGGTTTCAATGCACCAAACACAAAAGCAGAGCGCTGTGACTGCTCGTCTCCATGTTTCCAAGAACGCCTAAATCGGAATAAATTATGCTGTAGTCATGGCAAATGAGAACCGTGTGAGTTTCCTTTTGTACCAAGCAGCAAAAAAGTTGTAGCATGATGTGTTTGATTTAATTCGCCTTAAATGCACGTCCTGCAATGTGACTGAAGTGCATGTACACACATCGTGATCACGATGCTGAAACAATATATTGTGATGTGATCGTATTGTGTGATTATCGCAATACAATAAAATATTGTCATATTGGCCACCTCTACTATGGTAGGAAATTAAAAACCCTTCATCATCATCTGAATACTTAGTCTATTGGACTTACTACAGCTTAATTTTCAAATTCAGTCTCTTTGCCCAATTCAGCATATCCTGAAGGGAAGGTTAAGTGAGGCGAGGATGTACAGTATCATCTTTCATATTTTGTTTAAAACAAATAGAAAATTGGTTATACTTCTTTTGAGTTGCTGTTTCTAGGAGCATAAGGTCACGTGTGTTACTGAATACATCATGTTTTAGTTGCACTAGTGGACGTGTCTCTGTCCATCAGGGTCAAACTAGCATGCACAGGTTGAATGTATGCACAATAAAACATCAACGCAGTGTTAGACTACTGAAATAAAGACATGAAACTATTGAGAGTTATTGAAAGGGTTATTATTGAGCATCAGAGGTGTATCAAAACACTTAGCCCATGAATAGATTCACAACACTTGGTTCACTGTTTGGTGTGCTTATGATAAATTAAAAAAAAAAAGATCAATTATTATATAACGTTGCTGTCGGAACAAAAACTCGTATCTCCAAAAAGATAACTTTACAGGAGAAGGGAAAAAAACTTTTAACAGACATTAATAGAGCAATGATTTATTCTCAATCATTTTGGACGATTTCCACTGGACAAAATGTAAGAGGAAGCTGAAAATTTCAAATATCTCGGAATGAAAAATGGCAAAAATGGAGATACAAGGTTTTGTTCTGACAGCAATGATAATCATCTATAATCATGTTGTTGCACATCTTACTAACGTCACTAGAGCTGAGAGGCAAGAGGAGTGCTGGAGTGGGTTGTTAAGGTGCTGATCATTTACAAACTTTAGTGTTCACACAATGCAGTTGCATTAGATGGCATCATTAATAGCTGGTCCATTTTCTACAGTTCATTATCACTTTCACAATGCATTGTTAGACACTACTGAGTGCGTTGAACTTGGGATTAGAGTTGGAGTGATTTTACTTTTCTGATAGCGATATTGAAATCTTGAGTGTCGGCTAAAACTGATACCGATATTTCTTCTTTAAAAACGAAGCTACAAAGCTTTAAAATTAGCTAGTTTTAATTGAAGCACTTCAATTAAGCTACTCAGACACTCCACTATAGTGCAGGAAGAAATACACAGCTGACAACATCACATCACACATCACAGTGTGAGCGTGCTGTCTCAGGATAGGTTTGTTACAGAATCGGGTTTAATTTATTCACATTTTCCCCTCCGATATCTGATCCAGCATTTTCTGCTCACAGATACCCATCAATACAGAAATGACATCTTTATATTTGATACCTCCTGTAACACTGGTCATGTATGATGATGCGTGTTGAGTGTTTGTAAATACAGGCAGCATCATAAACCTAAACTTACCTAATGAGATACTATTCTACATTGGTTAGAATGAGGTGATAAAGGACGGTAGAGGTGATGGTCCAGTTCAAGTCTGTCTCTGTTTCTTCCAGATTCTAGAATGAGTAATCCGTCAGAAACGAGTAAATGTGCAATGGAGAGTGGGGACGGAAACACAGGTGAGTTACCTGGCCATTAGACTAGATCACTGTTCACCTGGTTTTTCACCTCTTGCTGTTTTAGTCAGTGTAGGTAGCTAATTAGCTGCTGTTTTGGTGCACTCTTAAATATAAAGGGTCCTGTTGTTGGCTTTGACATACCGTTCTACGGGAATCATTCATTTGGTAAAGATTGTGGAGATTCTTTAAACATTAGAAAGGTTCTTCAAACTCCTGCATCTCATTTACAAGATTGGGTCTTCAAAGAACCATCAATTGAAAGGTCCTTCAGGGAACCAAAGGTTGGTTCTTTTACGGCATCTCTCCAAAGGACTCACCTTTATTGAGAGTGTTGCACAGATTTTTCTGTATCCTGTGTTGGTTGTGTTGTGTTTGCCTGTTTAAATTCACATCAGCAGTTAACACAGAGCAGCTTTTTGCTTTTATGCTCATGTAGTCGCTACAGTGAAATCTCCCGTCATTAACGTATTATCCTCTGTGGATTGTGTGATGGTGTGATGTGGTTATTTGAGGATGTATGAAGGCAGAATGGGGGAATGCCTCTGAATATTTATCACAAAAAGCCTTTCGTTCTGAAAGAGAGGACACGAGGTGTTCTGTGTCAGTTGAAAGGGGTTTTTTAAGGCTGTGATCTATTGAGCGGCTGCCTCTTTCTCTCCCTCCAGGTGCCCAAACAAACGGACTGGACTTTCAGAGGCAGACGGTGCAAACAACAAACGCAATCACCAACGCACACGCACAGGCCCTGCTCCAACAGGTACGCTTCAGCTCTCTTTCTCTCTCTCTCTAACTCTCTCTCATTCACTTTTGCTCTCTCTCTCCTTGTAGCACTCTCTCCCTCGCTTGCTTTCTCTCTGTCTGTACCTCTCACAGGGTTGCTTTCTTCCTTTCTTTCTCTCTCTCTTTTTTCCTTTAACACTCAGACATTGTTCTTCCATAAGTTCTGTCAGTTTAATGAAACATGTATTCTGTGAGGTAAAAACTGAGGACTACGGAGGGACTATAGGAGTAAGTAGGACTAAAGACCGAGAGGAATGTAGTGATGTCCCCGGGGGTCATTGTTCTCCACTGACATGATGCATCCTGTCGGAGCGGCTAAACCGCTGTCTGACCCGCTCTATTATTATCATACCTGTGAATGACTGCACATTAATAAGCTCTATGTGTGTGTTTGGTACAAGGCTGGAACAAGGTGTGTGTGTGTGTGTGTGTGTGTGTGTGAGTGTGTGAGAGTGATCAGTATGCTGGATTTGTTGAAAGTGTAAAGATTGGAGCTACACAGACGTGCCAGTGAAAAAAGCAATGCTGCTATCTCCTTTTTACAAGGGAAATTAATTGTGCCCATATGCTAATTAGCTGCTCTGCAGTTGCTCGGAAACAGATGGTGGAGAATATGCAAATCTATGCAGAATTTGCATGCACTGCATAACCGTTTCTTTAATTAACATACCCCACCTCCCTCTCCCTTCACGTCTCAGAGGACCGCAGTGTATTTTTATCACCAGGGCCACTAGAGCATTTGGGGTTCACTCTTTTATTTCTCTCTCTTTCTCTCCCTCTCTCAACCTTCATTCTCTCACTCTCTCTTTGTCTTGCTCTGATTTTTCCCCTCTTTATCTCACTCTCTCTCTCTCTCTCTCTCTCTCTCTCTCTCTCTCTCTCTCTCTCTCTCTCTCTCTGAACTTGTCCCTTCTCACTCTTCTCTTCTTCCCTCCTCTTTTCTCTCTAGCTCTCTCTCTCTCTCTCTCTCTCTCTCTCTATTTTTTCATCCCTTTCTCAACATCATTTTTGTTCTTTTTCTTTTTTTCTTGCTCTAATTTTACCCCTCTTTATCTCATTCTCTTTCTCTCTGAGCTTGTCCTCCCCTCTTTCTTCTCTCCTCCCCTCCTGTCTCTCTCACTCTTTTTCTCTCACTTTCTCTCCTGCTTGTTTCTCTTCCTCTCACTCTTTCTCTTGCTCTCTTTTCCCCTCTGATTTCTCTTCTTACTCTTTCTCTCTTCACCCCCACTGTCTGCACCCCCTTCCCTTCATTTTTCTATCTCCTGTACCTGTAAGATGTGGAGGGTGGGTGTATATAATATCTGGATACCTTTCTCTACTATATATATATATATATATATATATATATATATATATATATATATATATATATATATATATATATATATATATATATATAAAATAATTATTATTTATTTTAATTTTTTTCCATTGCTCTTTTGTTTTAACAGATGTTTGTCATGCAAAATGACCACAAGGGCGGTTCATTTATCAATTCATTTGTTTCATTTCTCTGTCATACTGAAAGTTGCTTGGTTGCTTGCTGAAACTCGGCTGGTTATGGACGTTAAAGCTTTTGCTCAATGCAGATTCCTGGGCGGGTCTCGAATCCTCTTTCTGGAGCGTTTTCTGCTCTAGTCAGGGTGGGACGTGAAAGCTGGGGGTCTGTGCTCCAGGCCCTGACCCTGCTCTCTGTTCTGTCTTCAGTGTAAGTCAGAGGATTCGGCTGAGCTTCCAGCCTCCAGTCAGCAGGGCGCACTGCCCCAGACTCAGCTCATGTTGGCCGGGGGTCAGATAGCTGGAGTAAGTGGCACGCTGCCTGTACAGAGGGTGTCCATGCACGCTCACTCGATCTCACCACCATGTCCCCTCATATGACACAGTCAGCTCCCCTTTTCATCAGAGCCATTCTTTACTGTTTGAAGTGATGGACTGCACAGCCAGCACCTCTAGGAGGCAGATCTTCTTTAAGCTGGACAGACAGTAGAACAGTTGGTCAGCACTCACGATTAGGGCCTGACCGATATGAAGTTTTTGTGAACAGTTCTGACTTTAAGGAGCTAAATACTGCTAATTGGTAGTGTCAGCTGATATAATTTAATTTGGTCTAAAAAAATTAAGTAGACCCCAATAGTTTAGGTTGAATAATGTAGGCCTGTCACAATTATTACATGATGGTCTGTTTGCAGTTATTGTATAATTATTGCAATTTTTTTAGATAAGCCCAGTTTAATGTCATGTAAATCATATTGCAACAAGCATAGTGTGAGGCGGGTGTGTTTTCATTAGTTTGCTTGTTACAGAGAGTGCAGGGTATCATCTTTTGTTACCTACAAAGTAAACAGCTAGCAAAGCAAGATAAGCTAATAGGCCAGTTTTAGCTGCTTTAAACTTGTACTTTATTAGTCGCATTAAATGTACAAAACAGACAGTTGCATCGTAAATCAAGTTATTTATGTAACAAGTAATCGTCAGCTAAACTTTCATAACCATGACAGGCCTAATAATGAGTAACTGACAAAGTGTCAGTTAACTGTGAGCTCTGTTTATCCCTCAGAATTAAGCAGACTGTGTCTTTAAGACTGATATATGTAAATGAGGGCTGTCCTGATTGGCTGCCCTGTATTGCACTCCACTGAAAAGCAGTCCAAGCTGAAACACTCCTTATAGCTTCAGTGTGAGTGGGCGGGGCTACACTGCTGTAAGCTGAATAGGCGGATATGTGTAAATGGGTTGGTTTTTCTGACCACAAAAACAATGGATTCAAAATGTTTTTTCTGCTTCAACTTAAATATTGTGATGCGTATTGTATACATCAAATGTCTTCAAGCGTCATAATAATATATTTCTGCCATGTTGCCCACCCCTAACTGCACCTCAGTATTGGCTAATATTATCAGCCTTCTGATAAATCAGCCTTGCACTGCTTGTAATGCATGTCCTGTACTGCAGTGTGTTATACGGTCAGGAGTCCTGACAGAACTGTATTGTTGATCTCCAGCATGCACTGTACAGTCTTTGTTGGTCGTTAGTTTGCTGAATGACTTTCTGCATGTGTTCACCAAAGAATCGCTCATGCATTCATTCTGTGTCGAACCTCAGAGTCTGTTACTGTCCTCCGTAAAGGCTCAGTGTGCTGACCGGTGTAGATGAAGCTGTTTTGGGGTGTTGGTGAAATACTGGTCACAGGTTTGAGGCTGTGTGAGGGAGTGCATGTTAGTGTGGAGTCGAGCATGTGGTACTCAAGACCAGCATCGTGTCGAGGAAGCAATGCATTTCTGTTTTCATCCATGTGTTTTTTTTTTTAAAGTACTAAGTACATCACCAGCTTTGAATATCATATTAATTATAAATGTGTTATGAGCTGTAGTCTAATGAGTTTGACTGATTTGATTGTAACTAATATCTCTCTCTCGCTCTCTCTCTCTGTCTCTCTCTGACTCTCTCCGTCTCTCTGTCTCTGTCTGTCTGTAGTTGACTCTGACCCCAGCGCAGCAGCAGCTGCTGTTGCAGCAGGCTCAGGCGCAGCTGTTGGCAGCTGTGCAGCAGCACTCGGCCAGCCAGCAGAGCAGCACCACGGGAGCCAGTATCTCCGCCTCCGCTGCCACACCGATCACACAGATCCCCCTCTCCCAGCCCATCCAGATCACATCCGTAAGAGCCCTGTCAACTGTTATTTTACTGAAACATCTAACTTAATGTTCTGTTTTCACGTCTCTCTTTTCTATAGATGTGTATTTACATGATAACGAATGGTGAAATATGGTAAATGATAAGGCATTACTCTGTATGGAGGTTGTATTTAAAGGAATAGTCTGGTGGGAAAAAACAACACACAGGAGAAGAAAATGCAAAGTTTTCCCCTTACTTCATCAGCCGTGGCACGTGTGGTGTCCGATGTTTGCTTCTTTAGTTTTGCGCTAAAGAAAAACTTGTTGTAGGCAACAAGTTATGGAAGCATTGTGTGAACTGCATGCCTAATTCATCACACATTAGCCTCAAAGTGTGTAGAGTTAGCAAGTAATTTCAAATGGCATTGCTTATTTTATACATATATAATATATGAGTATATATGAAATATTATTTATATATATGTGTGTGTGTGTGTGTGTTTGTGTAAATATATATATGTGTGTATTTATGTCTATTTATGAATTTCCTAGACAATTGATTATTTATTTATTTGGAAAAGTTATTACCTGCAATAACAACCAGAGTTACTAACAAACTCAAAATTATCCTGGTAGTTACAGTTAAAAACTTAAGTAAGGCAAGTAGAAACACTCAAACATCAGTGTCACTGTTCTTTATGTAGGTAAGTATTCAGCATTTTATTTAGGTTATATCACATCTTGAAGGAATGGAGTGCATGTGTGTGCATAACTGAGGCTTAGGCCTGTTTTATGCTCTCTTGTGAATGACCAGAGCAGTGCAGGTTTTGAACACTTCTCTTTCCACCACATTTTTCACTCTTAATTTTGCAGTTTTCAGTGCATCTCTAAGCTTTCTCATAGACATTTAATTCTGAAGAAAAAATACTTTTCTGTCAGATTCATTTAGCTCACGATTCAAGTTTTCTAACCTTCTCTGAACGTGTGTGCATTTGGATTAGTGCCCCAACATTAGTTCTGAAGTAATATTAGAGGGTTAGGTGAATGTTTTCTACCTTGCTATTGCTCAGTTGCATTCAAAGTATTGATCAATAAGTGAATTTCCCGCAATAAATTAACAAATTATATAAATAAAAAAAATGATGATGGTGTCCCTTTGTCCTTTGGAGACCTGTGTGTGTATATATATAGGCATCAACATGAGTCAGATTTGACCTATTTTTCAGACTGATTTTTGATGACATGGCTGTTGTACTCTGAAGGAGAAGATTGTTTAGATGACGCTGACCCAGTGTGATTATAATTAAATGTTATAATTGTGTAATGGGGTTATAAATGACCAGTGAACCTACACATGCCTTCTGAGTTTTTGTATGTAATGTTAATCATGGTAAAGAGTTTTTTTGTTTTGTTTTGTTTTTTTTTTATCTTTGTCTTGTAACTCCCTTTATGTACCTCTTTTCTGTGCATGTATTTAAAATAGATCATAGGCCGCTTTCTATAAAACTATTTTGTGTAATAGTTTGTGTGATACCTTCAGGTGAGAGAGGTCTTAGAAGCATTTGACATTTCAGACATCTGGTTCCCATATTCACTACTGTGAACAATTCTCAAGTTTCTCTAGAATGGCCCATTTCTATCAAACCACACCGAATGACCATGATTTAAATTTTCTACAGAAATTAATAAAAAAATCCAGGAGAATTCCCCTGTAAAGATTTATAGCTATGCAATGTACTTTTGTCCTTTTGTGTGCCCAGACATTTGGAGTAAGGAGAAATAATTGAGAAAAAAAATTACCAAGACGTTGCTTGAAATGTAGAGACGGCAGCTCACAGTGTAAAGTGCAGTATACAGAGAACTCTGCAGCTGGCAGTATGTGTAATGAGTGACGTGTTTCTCTCTGTTTGTCTGTATCTTGCAGCAGTTGCAGCAGCTGCAGCAGCAGCAGCAACAGAACCTCAACCTTCAGCAGTTTGTGCTGGTGCAGCCAGGCCACCCCATCGCCACTCAGCTGCAGCCGGCGCAGTTCATCATCTCGCAGACGCCGCAGGGCCAGCAGAGTGAGCACTCTGTCCTTTCAGCCTCCACACAGCACTGTATACAGCCAGCCTTCTTCAGCTTCTGCTGGCCTTTACTGATTTCCTTTTTAATGTGTGTTTAACAGGCCTCTTGCAAGCCCAGAATCTTCTAACTCAACTACCTCAAAGCCAAGCCAACCTCCTGCAGACTCAGCCAAGCATCACCCTCACCACACAGGTTGGAAAACTGACATTACATTTTACAAATTAAAGGCCTAAAATATTAAGATGACTTAAATTGGAATTTACATGGTACAGACAGGTGTCGGTTAAAAAAAAGAAGTGTTCTTCTGTGGCTTCGCTCTGAAAAAACTTTTTCAAGAGTACATAATCTTGGTCTTGACTTCATTTGTGCTGTTACCTTTTAGCCCGCAACACCGACACGCACGATAGCAGCTACCCCAATCCAGACCCTCCCCCACAGCCAGACAACGCCAAAGCGCTTGGACACCCCCAGCCTGGAGGAGCCCAGTGATCTGGAGGAGCTGGAACAGTTTGCCAAAACCTTCAAACAGAGGAGAATCAAACTGGGCTTTACTCAGGTAAACCGCTACATACACACACATCACATGCATACATATTGGCTTAACATGTCACAGCCTGGAGCATGAAGTGTCTGCTGGGATCTGCATAGTCCTTGACTTTTACCTAAAGTGTTGTAACAAATTGTGTATGTAAAAACAACCTGGAAGTATAGAAAACACACCCTAATGCAGTTCTGTTTTTACAAGATAGATCTAGGCTGATCAACATGCCAGACAGAGCCTATTAAACAGGCTCCTCCAGTAGTATATAATTTGGCTTTATAGTTTTGGTTTTAAGTTAATTTACCAACAGATTCACTGTAAATCATACAAGGTAAAGAACATATTACTTGAATATCTGCTACAACCTTCGAATGTCAATGTTTAAGGTAGAACGTCCATAAATAATATTAAACTCAGTGTGGAAAGTGTATTTACTCCATCACCAGCTTAGAGCTGACAACACTGAAAATCTTCTATTATATATATTCTGCTGATTGCCTGATTAATAATATAATCGATAGTGATAGTAACAGCCCTGTTATCGTCCACTTCACTACACTGTGTAGCGTTCTTATGGATCTCTGTAATGGAATTTCTCTTTGAAAGGGGGATGTCGGCCTTGCTATGGGAAAGCTTTATGGAAACGACTTCAGCCAAACCACCATTTCTCGCTTTGAGGCCTTGAACCTGAGCTTTAAAAACATGTGCAAGCTGAAGCCTTTGCTAGAGAAATGGCTCAACGATGCAGGTATGTCTCTACTCTGCCCCCCCTCTCTAGCTCCAGATTGACCTAGCATGATGTGAAGAATGTTGGATAGGATATGGAGCAGATTCCTGTCATAGCCATCTGTAGTTGAGGGTTTCCCGCGGGTCAGCTCACTGCTGAACTTGCATAACTGCTAGAACACTAGAAACACATTTCACTGCTTCACTGCTCATTTTGGTGAAAACTAGACTGTGTCTAGTTTCAGCAGTTGAGTTTGGTTTCATATTATTTTTAATTTATGGTGTATTTAATGTAGCGTTGATTTGGGGGGCAGGGGGGTCTCAAACTACACATCCGGCCTGCAATACAGTTTCATACAGCCTGTCACACATTTACAATTTATCCTGAAAAATATACGTATTTCAGTTTTCTGAGTCCACAATATAATATTTACACGCCCGAGAGGTACATTTTCTTTATATACCGGGTACTGTGGCTGGTTACCAAATATAAGATTTTAGGCTATTCAAATGAAAACTGACAGAGCATGAATTCTGCATACTGGGTGGGGATGGCTGTAATTAACCTCTAACTAACTTAGCTTTTATACTAATTTAGACTTAAATCTGCAGTCATGGATTCACACAGGACACAGTAGTAAATACAATGAGGCAGAATTCAGAAATCAATGTAATTATTAATTGAATCCCCTGGGAACACAGATTTATCCACTTCGTCAACATTTTACTCATAAAAAAATTCTCTTACGTTCAGCAGGAAAGCCCCATATAATTCTGCTGTTAAAATGAAATTTTCTGAAAACTAAAATATTTATTAAAGGCTTTGTATTTGTACCACTGCTAATAACAATAATAATGATAACAAAAAAATGTGTAGTTAGAAGTAAAACTTGCATAAAATTATTCTTCACTTTTTGTACCACTGCATTTTTTCTAACCAGCCCCTGTTAAAGAAGACTACCTGGTTACTGACCCCCATGTAATTTGAGTTTAAGACCCTTTTGCAACACCCGCTGTGTGTGATAAACTCACATAACTCAACTTTCTCTCTTTCCACTGAATAGTAACGTGTCTCGCCTCTCATGTCTAGAGAGGTGCAGGATTGAACTGTAGCCTCAGGTACTTATATCCATCCTTGTGTGTGTTTGCGCGCGCTGTGTGTGCAGAGAACCAGACGTCAGACCAGGCCCTGTCCAGTCCCAGCTCTTTGGGCTCCCCTGGGCTGGGCATGGAGGGCCTCAACCGGCGTCGCAAGAAAAGGACCAGCATCGAGACCAACATCAGAGTGGCCTTAGAAAAGAGCTTTCTGGAGGTGAGTGATATCTTCTATTAGAACCACACTGACTCAACACTACTAGCCTTTACTTCATAATTTGATATGATACTTTTGTAGATGAATTATGAAACTTTAGAGCAAGTCCTTAACATAAGCCTTCAACTCGCAGTGACTGTCTCATGTTGAAAGGGCATTTGTGGTGTCTTTGCCCTCTTCAAGCAGAACCAAAAACCTACCTCTGAGGAGATCACCATGATCGCCGACCAGCTGAACATGGAGAAGGAGGTGATCCGTGTGTGGTTCTGCAACCGCCGGCAGAAGGAGAAGAGGATCAACCCGCCCAGCAGCGGCAGTGCCGGCAGCACCCCCATCAAAGCAATCTTCTCCCCCTCCACACCCCTGGTGCGTTAAATAGATAGATGTAGTTATATATAATAAATAGACACATAATTACACATACGACACACATTTACACATACTGTCAGTGTGAAAATATGAAAAATATAACATGAAAAAGTGCTGAAACCATGTCACTAAACTGATGTTGGTATAGATGTCTCCATCCCATTCAGAAATTCTAAGTTTAATGTCTTCTGTTGCCTTTGTTTTCTCTAGGCGCCTTCCACGGCCAGTCTTGTGACCAGTACCACCCCGACTACACTGACTGTAAATCCTGTTTTGCCTCTCACCAGCACAAGTGTCTCCAGCATTGGCTTCACTGGTAAGCAGCATCATAGACCAGAAAAGTGGAGACTAGGATGCAGCCAATGTATCATTTAGCTGGTAATATTGATCTGTATTAAAGTTCTACACCTTTGTAGGCATTTATGCTGAGGTTTTAATAACAGGTAATTTGCGAGGGGCTTTTTTAAATTAGACCAAAACAAAACACTTTAAAGGGCCCATGTCCTAAATTTTCCTTGTATTTTATTTTTTCACCAAGGTCTCGTTTGTAATGTTTATAATTCCTATTTACACAACAATTTTCTAGATCCTTTAGATTTAAACTTGCTGGTTTTTGTTTCTCTGCATTTAAAGCAGACATGTGTAAATGACCTCTTTTCTGATTGGCTGCCCTGCATTGTGCCTCACAATGCAGTTGAGGCTGAAACACTCCTTATGACTTCAGCATGAATGGGTGGATGTAAACTGCTGTAGCCTGACTAGGTGTAAATGCATTGCTTTTTGTGATGCCTCAAAAACAAAACCAAACAGATTTAAAATGTTTCCATATATGAAACGGTACATTTTGAAGCTTTTAATTTTCCTTCCTTCTTCCATGTTAAGGGGCTTTTAAAATTGCTGTTGTTTGAGAGGTCAACATTGTGAGAATTCATTTTATCTACTTATTTTAAGGTTATTTATAAGCAGATTCTTTCTTTATATGTTATTTAAGACAGTAATTAAAACTGTTGGAATCTGTTTAATTTTTAACCATATAAAGGTTTGACTTCGTTGGTTGTTGGAATTAGTGGTTCCTTAAAATCAGTATTAGGAAACTGTTATAAAATGTCAGACCCTAGTGAACCCACTGCCCGGCCCTTTTTCCAGGCACGCCTGTGGGCTCGGCCTCCTCCAACACTGCGTCCGTCATCTCCTCTGTTCCCGTCGTTACGACTGCAGCCTCGTCTCCTTCACTCAGCCCCTCCCCCAGCACGATGCAGGCGTCCTCGGCTGAGTCTTCGACGTCACAGGAGCCGGCGACTACGGTGACCCAGGCACCATCCTCACTGGCCAACACACTGGGCACAGGGCAGGTGATGGTGGCGGCACCCAGCTTGTCAGCTGCACTGCAGGGGGCCGCCCAGCTTCCCACCAGCGCAAGTTTCGCCGCCATGGCTGCAGCTGCTGGTCTCAACCCGGGCCTCATGGCCTCCTCACAGTTCGCTCCTGGGTATGTAGCTGTGTGTGTATGTATGTATCACAAAAATGAATGTATTTTTGCAAAAAAATAACCCTCACTTATGTTACAGTGCTAATGTGGCTAACGTAATGAAAGCTTATACCCCTTAATACTCTGTGACTATAATGTTGTCCATAAAAAACAAAAGTACAAACAAAATTCAGACTTCAGGATGGCTGCTACTACTGTTTTAGCTATGCAGTGTCCATGTTTATAGATAACAGTGTACATATAGTATCAAAAACCATATAAGAAAGTCTGTTTGACATTACTAAACAACATCACGCAGTTTGAGGCAACTGAGATGATTTAAGCGTGCAGTGTGTACAGTGTTAATTGGTGGAGTATAAGCTTCTCTTCTTTCTAGGTTACTTCAGCCTCTTAGCTCCAGTTCAAAACTACGGAAACAAACTTCTCCTTTAACGAGTGTTGGCTAATCAACTACATTAGGTGAAAGGAAAACGTGAGATCGCTTTAACAAAACTTAAGTAACTGCAAATCAGTATTTAACGTCTTATTCTCCAGGGTATATTTTGGTTTGTCCATCTGAATTTACATGACCAAATCGTAAGGCAAATTATTCAGTAAGAAATAAATGTACATTTTTATTTATTTATTTATTTTTTGTAAATGCTCCCCTCAAATTAACAGAACGTGTTTTATGATCATACACATATTGCTATACGCTTACAATTTACTGCTGAAAGCCAAAAATCTTAGACGCTCTTTGTATTATTTTATAAAAATAATTTTTACGGAGCAGATCACTGAAGAGACACCATCTGTTTATAGTGTATAGCCCAGATTTGTGGAAGTTCAGCTTCTTCTATTATGAGGGTTTTAAATTACATCACCCATCTATTTGACTGGAGACAGTTTCAGCTCTCATATGACACCCACCTTTTGAATGTAGCTTATGGAATATGAAAGTTATGAAGAATATGACAGTGCGTTTTGGATCCACCAGTGGTCTCAAGGAGTTGAAGAGGTTAAAATCAAGCAGTGGACCAAAATGCTTAATTTTTTAGTCAGTAGAATTACTGAAATTGCCTTTTGTCTTTTGTTTGTGCTGTTTAGTGGGGCTCTGCTGAGTCTGGCTCCTGGTGGTTTGGGCAGCGCGTTGAGTCCAGCACTGATGAGCAACAGCACCTTGGCCACTATCCAAGGTGTGTGGAGCGGCAAGTACACCTATCTTTTCCTTATCGCTCTGCATGGCTTCAGCAGCTTAAGATTCACCTGTATCGCTAAGAATTATGGTAATGGTAATGATGCAGTTTGAAATGGGCCAAATTGATTACTGCAATCTGAAATGTGTTCTGACATGGTGTTCAGGTGTCATTTATAGTAGTTTTTGTGATGAAATTCATTCTTCCATTTACTCTGCAGTAAATGAGTGAAATGTCTTTAAAAAAAAACGTGCTTGCCTTTTGCCATATTTGGAAGATTAAATCAGAGACCCCTGGCCTTTTGTATAGTATTTTCAAATCAAGAAAGGCTTGTTTATTGACCTATACACGCTCTGACCGCAAACTTCTTCTATAGCTGTTATGAGGTTGCACAAGCTTTACAAAATGTTGGCAAGAACCCCATTCAGTCTAACGAGAAGCAGAACACAACATAAATTTCTTGGATGGACTGCTTTTTAAATGAGGTACAGTGTAGCCAATCTAAGCAGAACTCACTTACATCTATTGGTCTTAAAGTCACAGTAACAAAAACAGGCTATTCAATTCATTTAATTCATAATATATTAAGAAATAAAGACGCTGGAAAATGTTCATGTTAAAAAGAATTATGATCGTTTTTGATACATAGAAATTAGAAACACAGTGTTATGTAGCAACTCTAGACTGATATTGTGGATTGATGTCAAATAGTTTAGTTGTTTCAGAAAAATCCATGGGCTCGTGAGTTCTTGACATAAAGCCTTTCTAACCTAGGAAAAGTCGCTGTGTAGGACGCTTTGTGGACAGACCATAGATGAATTAGCTGATTATTTGAATCAGGTGTGCTGAAGCAGTTTGAAATAAACCTATGTAGTTCATAGTTGCTCAGTGAAGTAACTTTAATTCTCTTCTTCCGTAGCTCTGGCATCTAGCGGGACTCTGCCCATCACCTCTTTGGATGGCAGTGGTAACTTGCTGTTTGCCAACGCCAGTGCCGGGAGCACGCCCAACCTGGTGACGGCGCCCCTCTTCCTGAACCCCCAGAACCTGTCTCTGCTCACCAGCAACCCGGTCAGCTTGGTGTCCGCCGGTGCGAGCGCAGGGGCCGCCGGAGCCCTCAACCTACACGTTGCCGCCGATACCCACCACAATGCTGTCACCACGGCAACCGTGCCCGCCTCCACAATCACCACCGCCTCTAAGGCCCAGTGAAGGCTTTGCCCATTCTCTTTCCTCCTTCTTCTTCCTCCTTTCCCCTCTCCTTTTCCTCATCAATCATTATTTAATCCCTTTGCTACCACCAAAAAGAAACTCAACAAGAGGTTTTTGTATTATTATTTTAGTGTTTCTCCTTTTTCATACTTCCTTCATCCATTTTGTTTCAAACGATGTACTTTTTGGACCTTGTTGCCTGCTTTGATTTTTCAGCAACAACCTTCACGAATGTTGGCATTACTAGAGAGCCTGGCGTAAAAGATAGCCGAAACGGAACTGTCTCTGGACTGCACGCTTGCTCGCTCGGTAATGCAAAGACGTGTTCGCTTTGAGTGAGCTCGCCTCACTCACTTCACTCCTTTTTTTTTTTTGCATTTTTATATCTTCCTTTTTGGTCCTAAACACTCCTAACCAAAAATGTGTACTGATATTGTTTACTTGTCGAATCATTGCTCCTTACTGATAGCGTTAATAGTCTTTGTTGTGATCGCCATCATCACCACTGAGGAAGGTGTCTTGACACCTCACGATTTGAAACGTTTCTTTTTTAAAGGCGCTGCTTTGCAGGCCTTTTGGACGTTCATATCAGATCTTTCTAGAGCTTTTCCTTTGGCTTCCTGTGGTTTCTTTTTTATCTAATTCAGCTTTAGACTTATCATTCTCACTTGTGGTTACAAGGCTTTAAAGGAGTAATAAGTGGCTGCGATTACGGTTTCATTGCTTTAAGGAATCGTTTGACTGGTCTCTGTCTGGAAACACTGATTTATCGAAGAAAAAAAATTCTCAATACTTAGTAGCAGAGGTTTTTTTTTTAAGCGTACTCTAGGGTGGGTCTGAAGCGTGGACCCTGAGTTGGGTGTATTTACAGAATACTAATAGCTTTAAAGGATTGCGCAAGCAGTCCATCAACAGAGGATGCTTTTTGAGCGGGTGATGGGTCGCCATGTAGATCACGCACTGAAAGCTCCTGGAAACTGTTGTGCTACTGTACGTCATCGGGGCGACCGTGCGATGTCTAGACTGTGACCTGTATTCATCCCAAATCCGTCAGCCTCTTAAGGTCTTCCCAACACAGGGTGTGCTTTCTGTGTGGTCTCCTGGGTTGGTCTAGGTCGTACAGGATGATGCCACCAAACGCGTGGTGGGTGACCTTAACGTTCAGAAGGCAACCCGGCCCAGGAGAGGAGAGGTTGTCCTCTGTCCAGGAGAATTTTTAAGGTGTTTGTTTTTCTACTTGTGCACAGTACCTGTACCAAAAAAAACTGGATTTGAGAACTGCAGTCTGCCTGTTATTTAAGGAAGAAATTCATCACGCTTTTGAGGAAGAGGTTCTTTTTATTTTCGAGGCCTTTGGCAGGCCTCTCTGACGAGATATACCAAAAATATTTGTTAAAAACCTTGTTGCTGTATATTACCGTTGTAGCGTAGCGTAAGTCTAAATATTTATGAGCGGAGAGGCTCTTGGTAGACCACAGGAAAATATGATAATGCAATATTTTGAAGATCATTTCCAAAGACAAAACTTTCCTTTTTTTTTCTTCTAGTTGAGATGGCTCTCCCTGCTCTGCTCTGTCTCGTCAGTGCAGCTAACCAAAAATAACCCGAGTGGATGGGGAGGGTGGAGTTTGTAAAAGGTTCGGAGGCGGTCAGGACACACATGCTGCAGCGACGACACCCCAAAGTAGCCTGTCCGCCTCCAGGTGGTTGGTGAAAAGTCTTTGTGAGTGAGAGGGAGGAAACTGGAGAGGTTGCCCTCCCTCTCCCTAATAAAGTTAATATATTTGAAAGATGTTGGTGTGAGTGGATGGAAGCAATGCTAGTGCATTTGTTTGCCTTACAGGCTCTTTCTTGGTTTCTTTTTTTTTATTATTCGCTCCCCTGTGTAGCTGTGTTTTAATTGGTTTGATCCTTGGTAGACTGAAGTATCCACTATGGAGGCAGGTTGGGACCATTGTTCGGAGCTTTAGCAGGGCGGTCTTGTTGTCCCCTCCCCCCCCCCTTACCAATGTAATTCAGCCATGACGTAAAGCTTGAACCAAAGTCGTTTTCTCGCTAGCTGCTGTGCCTGTGGGGTCCAGCGAAGCGCTGGCCACACTATCACTACTCTACACTACTGATAAACTTCCTCATCTCTTACTTCTCCCACCCACAGCTCATGGTGAACATAGTAAAAATGAACTGTGTGTTCAGCTTTAAAGTGAAATATATAGCGTAGTGCAGTGCTGACTTGTTTTAGCCCTTGATATCAAAGCATTGAGCGATCCAAAGACAAAGGAAGGGCCTTGTCTGTAAGTGCTGTTTATTCAGAGTCATCTTCTTACGTTCTAGGTTTGATGCAGTCATGCTGTAATCGACGGGCTTTGCTGAAGCTGCTCTCCAAATATCACACAGTTCACTGGATTCCACTCACATTTTTAATGATCTTGTAGCATCTGGAACCTGTGGAATGCAAGAAAACGCTCCACTATTTGCCCTCTGGGTACTCGCACACGTCGCTCTGAGCTTGGCACAGCACTGGCGCACTCCCATAAGGCTGTAACGGTACATAATTGTGGTGTACTGAAAGAGTAAACCACTCTCTTCTTAAGCATTCGTATAGAAAAGGTACAGTCAGGACTCTTATTTTGTATTTATTTTTTTTTTAAACAGGCTGTTTTTCAGGCTGCTGATACATCCTTGGTTCTGGTCTCCAAGCGCAGTAGCATACATGCTTTCCGTTTCAGAGCACAAGTGCTGTCAACCAGACCATGTTAATGAAATTGAGCTCTAAGCATGTACTGATTGTACCTGTAAAACCTCACTGGCAGGTTGAATCTGAATTTTGCCTGAACAGGCCAGTGCTAGCTCCTTTTTTATTTTGCCCCTATTGCCTAATCCATTACTGCCCTGAATGCTATCCTCAAACTGTTCCTATCGACCTGTCGGTTTCTCACATTTTAAAACTTCTGTTATATTTTTTGTTATTTGAATTACCTCATCAGCACTTAAATGGAAGGTTCACTTTAAACAAAATGGCACCAACAGACAACTCCAGAATGTAAAAGAGCTGTTAATTTTTCAACTGTCCTTTTTTTTTTCTCTCAAAATTCTCAGCAATGCATTCTAGATACACATATAATAAATAACGTCGAGTCAAACTACTACTGCTATTTCAAGTACTACTACTTATAGGGTATCTCCAGGTTAACCAGTTCTTATTTTATTATCCTACTTGCCAAAGTAAATAGGCCTTTGTCTTTGCGGCTGGGTTGATGTCTTGTTGCTGCTCACTCTGCTGGTTCTGTTCCCGAGGCCGCAACATGGCCCTCATGGGATGTGTAGTTTTATGTGTAGGTAATGTATCTCGGTTGTTTTAACGCAGTGGTTTGGTGACCGGTGGTGCCGGGACCATGGGAAGTTACTGAAATATTTATCTGAGGAACGACTTCAAAGAATTAGAGAAAGAACTGTTGTGTTTTTTTTTTCCCTTTCTTTTTTCTAAATTCTATATATATACGCATATGTAATATACTCATATTTTATATTTGAACTATTATCAGAATTGAATGTAGTGTTTTGTCATGCTTATTCACAAAAACAGAGAAAAAGGCTAAAAAAACAAACAAAAAAAAAAAAACTTCTTCTTTTTATGATAGCAATTCTGAAAAACTCTCAAGACCAAAAATAAAGACCACACCCCTTGGAGGTGGGATGGCTGTTGTTTAGGCCCCTCCCACACTGAGATACAGTCTGTTATTGGGAGGGGTTTGGTGCTCCCAGCTTTTACTTTTGCTTAGGAAACGGACTCGAAAGCACCTGATCTTAATTTTTTTTTTAACAATCATTTGAACTTATTTACTTCTGTTGCCTTTAATTTGTTTTATATTTTTTTGTATAGCATGAGGGAGCAACATCACTGGCTTTCTTAGTTTAATAAAATTAACTTATCCTTATCATTTATGCCTTACTATTGATTTTAGAAGATTGATGCATTGTAGCAAACTGTAGTGCGGGTGTGTCATGTGAGTGGAGTTTATTTTTGCGTGCGCGTTTGTATGAGTGAACGAGGATACATCCTAGCATGCTTCTATGTCTAACTCACTCGGTGCATATCGACCGTTGAAATAACGCTGTGAGTATTGGACTTCTGTTGTTTTTTATGTTTGGACATAGAAATGTTGCTACCTATTTAGGTGTGACTCGAGCAGGTTGGAGACCTGCTGAAAAAAGCTTTATTAATAACCTGACTCCAGCTGTTGTGAAGGCGAAGGGGTTATCTTAGTTCTTGGTGGTGGTGCATTTGCTTTCTGAGGTCATTCTGCAGAGTAGAATTGGTAACACTTTGTTTAAAACTTGCTGCATAACACTGACGTAAACATGCCACAAAGAGGTCATATGCTGCTATGACAAATATAAGAGTGTCATGTTACCATAATCGATAATTGTCATGACTAACATCATGATGGCTAACTAGACTTAGGAAACTACACTTTAAATAAAAACTAGCATGTGTGGAACCCAGTAATGTAATAATTTCCCAAAGATTTTTTACTATAATATTTTGTGCTTAACATGGTCGAAAAAGTAATAAAATGTTGTAAATGTAACAACGTGCTCTATAATGTAATACGATGTGTAAACTGCTAATGTAGTATTTTTTTCTGTAATGCTAATGTAATTTTTAATTATATTATTGGGAAACTACTCTATTTACAAGTTGATAATATTTATGTTTTGCAGAATGCACAAAAGCACTGTAAAAGCCTTTTGGCTACTGCTCTTTAAAGTGTTACATCATCCATTTTAGGGGAAAAAAATAAGACCAACAATCCCAATAATGTAATAAGATACTACTGTAACATTCATTATATTATCAGTTTAGACGCTGAGTATTATTGGCCAAGTCATTACATTACATTATTTTTGACCAAGTTCAAAATATTATTACGTATCATTTCTGGGTGATATTACAATATTGAGGAATTATTACAATATTGGATTCTACAACATGACATGAGCTGGCATGACGATGTCTGTGGCATTGTTATCTCAGTGTTATGTGTCAAGGTTCAAGTAAAACATTACCATAGAATTTCTTGATCAAACTGCTTGGAAGTAGGAGTTCTAACAAAAGACCAGCTGAAACATGTGGGGAGAAACGGATCTCTTCAGAGCATTATAGCAGATTGATGCAACGGCAACCACTTGTATGCTTTTTAACCTGTGTGATTTAGGGTGGTATTCCGGCGGATTGGATCGATAGCACTTCTGCAGCAGATCTATTGCAGTGTTAGTTGTGGAGAAGTGGTCTGAGTGGGTGATTAGATGATTCCTTTGGCTTTCGGAATGACTGTTTGTAGCCGTGTAGTTTCTGGCTTGTGTTTTGCTGCAGTAGGCCTCGAGTCTGTTGCTAGGGAAAAAAAGAAAAAAAGACTAAAAAAAGACTGGCAGAAGTTGTCGTGCACCAGATGGGAGGGCTAGCTGGTCTGGGTAAAGGAGCTGTTGTATACCTCATTTCTAACTCGAGACAGAGTGAAAACTTGCTTTAATCTACTTTGAAAAATGAACTAAAAAAAAACAACCCTGTCCTAAAAGAGAAGCCTGCAGACGTCCATTTAGTGCACGGGGTGAGGATCTAGCTACGGAGACATGCGACACACATGTACGCTCGTGAGCGTTAGGACTCTAGGTTTGTTTTAGTTGCGAACCTCATATTTATTTTACCCCTGAACATATTTGTCTTTGTAGGTAACCTTGTAGTGTATTTTTTATGATTTGACAATCGTCTCTTTTAACGTCTTTCTTTTGTATGAATGTAGCTACAGGGTTTCTTTTGTATGTGAGCGAATATACATGCTGTCTGTCTCAGTCTGCTAGGCCTTCATCCTTTCTGTGGTAACCAAAGACTTCCAAAGTGATTGTATGGACTAAACTGTCTCTCCTCACTCCCTGCCTTTAGCAATGGATTCGACGTCACTCTGTTACACCTTCAGCTGGGTATCGGTCAGGGCGTGAAGGACAGGGAGGGGCAGGCTTCTCCAAAGGACTTGTAAAATTAACCCCTCGTGGGCTGGGTAATGTTTGTTAGTACACACTGAAGGATGTCCTGTGCAAACTGCAGCCTGCTCAGGATGAACTGTCTGTTCTCTGGACTTCATCGTCTTTGTCTCTATGGCTGTATAATAAAAAAAAAAACAAAAAAAAACAAACGTTTCTATACGTGTCGCTACCAAAAACGCATCTTTCCGAGGTCACTTTCGCACTGTCCGACAATTTCAGTGTGCTGTGTTTGTTTGTTTATCCTTCACGGTTTGTCTCGACGCTTTCCGTCATATCGTTTTCCCTTGGTTTGACTGATCAGCTGTGCAACTATGCATCGTTGTCCTGTAGGCCACTGGGGCTGTGTCTGTGCGGCACAACTCTTTACCAAATGGGTCTTCGGCGCGTCGCGCGACAGCTTTATTCCAAGCGCAGGCCGTCGACAGATGTTACAAGCTCTATCCCAAAGCAAAAATCCAAATATGAAAACGTTTGACAAACGCAGATACCAAAGATTACTCTGTCTTTTGTTCTGTTTCTCTCTCGTCCTCTCCGAGTCCTTCAGCATGTGTATTAAGGAACAGAACCCAGCTCTGATGTTTTAGTCCTAACCTCAGTAATTCCAAAGCTTAGATGTATATTTTGGTATTTTTCTGAGATACTTAAAAGACGTAAAAAAAAAAAAACTGAAAAAAAAACAACAAAAAAAGCAAAAACAAAAGTTTGTCATTTTAAATTTCTCGTTCGTTGGATGTATTGCTCTTTTTCTGTCACAGCATGGAGTTAATTGCAGAAACTGTCTTACTCTTAGTAGGTTAAACAAATAGTATTTTTATATGTTTTGGGTGTGTCAATGTATGTGATATCAGTTTCACTGCCCATTGTTTTTAAAACAAAAGAGGAAAAAATAGGAAAAGGTTTTAAAAAAAAATCATGTACATACTGCTTCAGTCAAGCCGTTCTGTAAATGGTCATTTGCATTTCCTACAGCAAAAGCTCAAGGAATGTGTCCTGTTTTTTCTCCCCACCCTGTCACATACTGTAGATTGTACTCCTGTATTACAGTGATGCTGATTTGTTGGATAACTGGGTATCACTACGGACTCAGACTTCAATGACACTCGCTCTCTGTTACTTTATGAACACATGCCTATGACTGGACTCTAAAATGGCTACATCATGGTAGCTTAGAACTGAACGATTGTGTAGAAATATAAGTATGTGAATCAGGATACATGGTAGATTTGATGCATTTGTCTGCTGTATTTTTTTTTCCTTTTGTTTTTTTTTATATAAATATATATATAAAGAATCTTTTACTGTAACTGTACAGTTCTCTTTTGTTGTAAACATCATTAAACCATTTTCCAAGTGTTTTAATATTGTAAGAGGTTTTCAGTCTTGCCATGTTTTGGGTGCATTTTAAATTAACCTCTTTTGGCTGTTAGGCTGGAAATCACCCTGGCCTTAACTGTGCTGCTGGGTTAATGCAGGTGAAAATCCAATCAGGTGAATGATTAGCCTTCTCGCTTTTAGTCATGTTACAGTACAGCTGCCATCCAGAAATGAGCTTTTCACAGTTAGGAACAGGCCTGTTTGTGTCACGCAGCATATAATTTATGATTAAGGTACTGTCTGTTTATGAATTCTATGGAAAACAAAACTAAGTATTAAGTAAACAGTGAAAACATACATATGAAAATGTTTATTAGCACAGCAAATATACATTCGTGAACTAGCAATAGCACTAAAGATGTATAAGCGATTATGTAGCCTGCATTGATTAGATTGAGTGAGATTAATCAAAATCTTACAGGTGAAATGTTTATACACTAAGAATCAGCTGCAGAAATTCAGATGAATATGAATAATCCTGGTCTATTTGCATGAAAAATCTCTATCTGCATATACAGCATTAATCACAAACCAGATTCCTGAGCAGCACTTCTACTCTGAGCTACTTTACATAAAACAGCCCTGGATTCAAAAGGCCTTTTAATGAGCAACGACCATGTGTATATACACTCAGTGAGCACTTTATCAGGAAGACCTTGAATCTACACTCATTGTCCATTTTATCAGTTCCACTCACCATTTAGGTGCACTTTGTAGTTCTACAATTACAGACTGTAGTCCATCTGTTTCTCTGCATACTTTGTTAGCCCCCTTTCACCCTATTCTTTAATGGTCAGGACCCCCGCAGGACCACCACAGAACAGGTATTACTTAGGTAGTGGATCATTCTCAGCACTGCAGCGACACTAACGTGGTGGTGTGTTAGTGTGTGTTGCGCTGGAATGAGTGGATCAGACACAGTAGTGCTACTGGAGTTTTTAAACACTGTCCACTCACTGTCCACTCTATTAGACACTCCTACCTTGTTGGTCTACCTAGTCAGAGTCAGTGACTCATCTGCTGCTGCACAGTTTGTGTTGGTCATCCTCTAGTCCTTCATCAGTGGTCACAGGACGCTGCCCACAGGACGCTGTTGGCTGGATATTTTTGGTTGGTGGACTATTCTCAGTCCAGCAGTGACACTGAGGTGTTTAAAAACTCCAGCAGCGCTGCTGTGTCTGATCCACTCAGACCAGCACAACACACACTAACACACCCAGTATTAGTGCTGAGAATGATCCACCACCCAATTAATATCTGCTCTGTGGGGGTCCTGACCACTGCAGAACAGGTAGATAGGGGCTAACAATGTATGCAGAGAAACAGATGGACTACAGTCTGTAATTGTAGAACTACAAAATGTATGTATATGGTAAGTAGAGCTGATAAAATGGACAATGAGTGTAGACACAAGGAGGTGTTTCCAATAAAGTGCTCAGTGAGCACCTTGCAAAAGTATTATTTTCCCTCAAAAGTCATCCTATTCATCTGGATTACAAATGACTGATATTTTGTGCTGTCATAGAAGACTGACCTTCAAAATTCATTGATTTTGGTTTCGTGTAAGAAAATATTACATGACAAAAATTACTGACTGAAAAATTACATTTGCATAAGTATTCAATCCCTGTGCTGTGGAAGCACCAAGTTTAAGTTTTTTTTAGAAAATTTACTTACTAAGAGCATCTTGGTTTGCAACATAAATACTGACTGGAACAATCTGTCTAAGTGTGTTTTACAGCCCAGATAAATATGATAACTTTTAAGGGGCTTAAAAACATTTGCAAGGCACTGTATATATGTACAGTCAACTCCATAATTACTGGTACCTTTTGTAAAGTTAGTAAAGATGGGTAAAAAAAGATCACGAAAAAATGCTTTTGTGATTAATTAGCTCAACCTCACTGGAAATATGATTTGTACCCTTTAATTGAATTGGCACCCCTATAATGCTTATGAGAAATAACTGAAGAATTTCACTCTTTTTTTAAGTACACTTGAGTGTTCATTATCTCTTAAGTAGTTATCCATGACTTTCTGTTTCATTGGGGTCTAAATATGAGGTGACAAAATGGCCAAATTCCCTTCATCATTCATCAACATGGGGAAGATTAGAGAACAAATGATACAAAAGTTTGTAGTCATTTGTAAATCAAGCAATGACCAAATTCACTGTTAGTGAACCTGCCTGAACGCAGGTTTATTTTATCCAAAAGCACAGCATGGAGGATGATTAGAGAGGCAAAACATTTCTCCAAGTTGGAGATTTGCAGAAAGTGGAAGCATTCTGGGGTCACCAAGCCTGCACGCCACCTATATACCAACAATCTATCTGGAAGTCGTGCCAGAAGAATCTGACGTGAGAACAGAAGTGGATGAACACAAATTTTCAACATGACATTAAATCCATCCATTAAATAGAAATCTGGTTGCTTCTGCCAAAAAGCTACAACTGTGGGTTGTGGTTGGATCTCCTAGCAAGACAATCCATCAAAACATACATCTAAATCCACACAAAAAATTGTTCTTTCACCATCCCATCTATATCATCCCAAATATATATATATATATATATATATATATATATATATATATATATATATATATAAGCCCCTTGAGCTGACCGTATACAACTACACGTAACTTTGAGAACAAGCCTAGCATGTCTAAAATGAGTTAATGCAGCTAACTCACAATGCAAATGAAAAATAGTCTATTTTATATTTACATTAAAAAGAAAACAGGCAAAAATATCCTAACCTTTACAGAATTATGTATAAAAGTATGGTCAACAATTACTTCATGCCTTCATATACTCAACATGCAAGAATTCCCTTTTAGCTGATATTTTAAGAAAATGCATGAGAGCCCTTGTCTCTGAACTACAGCACCATCTGCTGGACCAAAACTCAGCTGAGCGGTTTTAAATTTTAATTCACACTCTTACATATTCTTACAATATCGAATATTCATACACTTTTTGAGAAAGCTAGAATTGCATATTCTGGATGACTGCTTGATGAAGCGATTATGTTAACAGGATACATGACATTACAGATAAACCTTCACCAACATTGCCTGGTATCCTATTTGACTTTTTCCAATGGTTGAAATGTGTGAAAAAGGTTGCGTTGGATTGACGCTGTGTGTATTGGCTTAGGCCCGTGATGGTAAAGGAGGAATGGGATCCATCTCGATGGCCTCGGCTGCATCCTTCCTGCTCTCAGCTCCAGACTACAGGGAGGAAGCAGTTAACAAATCTCTATTAATGATACATGTCCAAACAACGTTAAATTGAAACTAAGCCTATAGAATCCAAACACTGAGCTGACAGACTTCAGGGCTTTATTATTGACTTTTTATCAATACTGCAGCTACATTCTGGAATGTTGACTTTACAGTGTTGGACTATGAAATATATAGAATTGTGTGGACTCCCATGAACAGAGTGTACGTTCCAGTTGATTCGTAAGTGAGCCTCACAAGATCAGGGCTAGCATGCACAATCATAACTGAAGGGAGCCCAAACTATTGCATTCTTCCGATTCCCTGCTAAAATGATTTGCACAGACCAAACCATAATAGAATTACTGGAAGTAAACATTTATTCAAAAAATGTTGACTGTTCAACACAGTTTTACTGGAATATGTCAATTAGACCATGCTGGTGTTTTTTAAAAACTAATTTGGCTGCAACTCAGCCACACATCGCCTAACTGAGACCAAATTTAACACAAAAGTACAAAATACAACTCTGAAGAAGCATGCCGAGTTTGGTCTGAAGCAGCCTCCAGGGGAATTTTACAAGCCGCAATCAACGCGTAAGCGAAGTAGAATTAACCCTGCTCCTTAATCAGTTCAAAATAAAGAAATACAAATGGTGTCTACAGATACAAATCCTCAGGCTAAACGTCTTTACAAATAGATGTGTTTTACCAAATTGTACTTGAAATGTGACATTTTGATTTATAGATAATTCCACTGTGGTAGTGCAGTGACAGGAATATAATGTCCTGTTGTTTCCAAAGGTAGAATACTTGCCCACTGTATCAGGCTGAAAGAACTGGCAAAGAGTGCTGTATGCGGATGTATGTAAATAGGGGGCGCTATAACATTAGCCTATTACGAAGCTCCACAGATTGCAACCTGAGGCTGTATTTATTATTATTTTGAACCTAAAAGCTCAGGCATTATTATGCATTTAAAATATGCAGGAAAATCTTCTGTAAGTACACTCCGGAAGCCATAATATAATCAATGAACAAGCTCAATATGATAAGCCTTTAAATGAATGTTTGCATTAACTGTGACACACCAAGAAAACATTAATTTACCACTACTACAGCTCAAAATGGATAAAATCACTGTTATTTACCTCTTTGGTTTTGCTCTTACTTTTGCGAGGCTGTGGAGAGATACAGACATCAACATGGTGTTTACCAGCTGTAAATGAAGGTCCATTATTAAATCTTATGAATACTGAGAATAGTCAGGTATGTACCTTGCTTTTTGCTTTGATCTCTTGGTATTCGTCATTCGTTGGTGATCTCAGTGGCTGTGGAACAGAAACAAACTGGTGTCTCTTCTGAAAGATACTTGAAGGATCTTTGCATTGTAATGAATGACCACCAGAGGGCCCCTGTGGCTACATTATTTTACATTTATCAAACAGGCTTCTAGTTTTACCTTAAAGTTATGTGGAGGTTCTTTAGGCCTTTTTTACAGTAATCATAAAATTCAGTTTCCACCATTTTTGGTGGTTCCACAGTTGTCTTTTTCTCTGTAGTAACATTGATGGAATATATTTTGAGGGAAATGTGTATGATGTAGAAAATGGAAAGTGAGCAGGATTTTTGTCTTTGTTGGTGAGCAAGCAAGCCAACATTTATAAAAGTGTTTTTGATGTGTTTAAATGCTATTTTTTCATTGTGACCGTTCTGTATAGTTTTCTGATCTCATGAAGGCTGCAGTTGCTGTCCTCTTTATCTCGGCAAGGTTGTCTTTGTGAAGAGGAATGTATTGTTTTCACCGCAGGGAGCTCTTACCCTACCATTTTTTACCCCTTATTGCTCACGTGTTCTAGTTAACCCCCTGGGGTCAATGAACGTGCCGTGCATCAAATTAGATATTTCTAAGTGTTTCTATTAATATCTTTGTGATAATATAGCGCAGAAATACGGTTCAAACAGTTCCTGAATCTGGAGAGTCTGCCCTTTCCATTCCATCTCATCATGGGATCGTATGTGACAAGTTGAAATACGCGCCATCTGCCTCTCACTGTGGGTAACTGGTGGATTTGTGTGACCCATTTAAAGCACCAAAACATTTAAAGCACCAAAACAATTGGTCCATATGAGTAAAGCTATGTTTTCACAAGCGATATTAAGAATTTCTAAAACCAGATTTAATTTTTTCAGTTTTTGGGCTCAATTATTTCTTTACACAGTGCTCCTGGTCAAAAAAGCCTCATTATAGAGAGAGCTGAGATTGTTTTGAATATTTTGGTATATAATATGTGGGTATCATGTCATAGGCAAGTGCCTTTAAAGGCAAATTTAATAATATATGCAAAAATCAAGAAAATGCCCTCCAGAGGGTTAGTCTGATAACAGAGTTATGGGAGAAAATGTTTTATTTGGTTATATTAATTAAAAACATCAGAGTTGATCTATTAGGGGGATGGCAAAAAGAGGTTACACTTTAAAAAGGTTCTTCACATTCATGCATCTCAATTACAAAATGTACTTTAAAGAACCGTCCACTGAAAGGCATCACTCTAACGGCATCACTCTAACGGCATCACTCCAAAGAGTCCTTTTGGCACCTTTACTTTAAAAAAATTCACAGATTGAGACATTTTTATGAACTTTAATTTGGTATTCCACATGAGCAAGTTTTGTATACCTGAATGCATAGATACCAAGATGATGGAGATTAATGGATATTTAGGCCACAAATACGGTAGACTGGGCCTGAATATGAGCGTTTTTGCACATTTGATGGGTTTAGTCAATTACTTGACTGAGTTGGAGAATTAAAGGCAGAATCATCTCACAACAGTCAGACTGCATTAAGAGTTTAAAGCTGCTGGATCACACAGAATGCTTAGGGTAACAGATGCTGTGGCAAAACCTATGGGAAAAAACACAACTCTGTTTCTTTTAAAAGTCCTCTGCATGCAGGAGAGGACCAGAATTCCACTTTGACAGCATAAGAAACTGATCTGTATGTAGAAGTTTCACTGCCTTTTACTAACAACAAAGTAGAACAGAGGGCAAATCCACTGTTTGACATCAAATACAGAGCAGTGCATAACTTAATGAATAACTAAAATACAGCAATTATAATGATTAATTATTAAATGAAGTTTCCTGTGTAAAGCGATCCATTAAACCATACCAATCAATCAATTACAGGACAAAAACAGATTTTTATAAAATAAAAAAACAACAAATTATAATAATACACTGGTGAATAAGTCATTGAATGTGTTTATTTTGATTCTAAAAAGAATATCTATTACTCAAGAAAGGAATTGTTATGAAATCTCTTTTTTCCTGATGATTATTTTTGCAGTTATACTTTTTTTGAGTATTTATTTTCTGATAATAACAGATTTCTATTTTCTATCCTCCATGATATCAGTTATTAGCAGCATTCCAAAGCCTAGGCTGCAGCTGAAGTAGTGCGGGTCCTAGGTACGACTGTCCTATGAAGACTCCTCTTTAGCAGCCTATTGGTCACACAAACAGAACAGTGCTAAGGCTGGGTGGTGATGTCAAACTTGGGAGGGAACTGGTGAGACAAAATGGAGCCCTTTGCTTTTTCATTTCTTTCTCGGAAATAGAGATGTTCTTATGTAGTACGATAAACTACATATATACAAATACTTCTAAATAAAATATGATAGATTGATGATGTACAATATATGTGCAAATGCTTTAATTAATCAGTCGTTTTACACTTTATAAGGTAACAAAGACGAATTCAAGGACATGAAAAAACAAGCTCTGCTCCAAAGGCTTCGATTCCCAGCATTTTCGTGGTGCTGTTTTTTTTTTCCTTTGCATCGTTTGTGCACAGAGAACTGTGGGTAACCGAAGGCCTGGAAGAATACATCTGTTGCGTCCTCAAAATCACTCCGAATGTACGCTGCATTTCTAGGCTGTGTACACAAAGTCCTTCACTTTGAAAGGCCTGCTATGACGTAGCGGCCGAGAAGTGCAGCCTAGGCTTCGGAACGTAGCTACTGTTCACGTCAATAACAGCTGGTACAGGCCAGAACTGTCAGTTTATAATTGCTGTTTGGAGACTGCAGACCTAAAAATGGTAGGCTTTGGCAAAGGAGACCTGATGCTATGTGCACTTTCCTTGGCGTAAACCAAGCTGGCTTCTTGCTAAACCACATATTTCGCCAGGTTGCTTTTGCAGGCTTCGTAAGTGATGGCGAGGTTGAAACTGTGGTCACTGACAAAACTTAATATGAGAGAGAATATGCTTTCTCTGCTGATCAGACAGACTGTGAGTACACTGTGTAGAGTAACAGGGTAGATTCACAACATGCTAATCTCTAAAAAAGCCTTTATCTGTATTATCATCATATTTTCGTATTTTGTAAACCAAATTCATGTCAAACCACAGCTCTGCATGGTTAGACTTCACAGCTCACACAGGCCTAATAGAGCAAAGCTCCTTTGTGACGCTCAGTCAGGTAGCTGACTGAGCAAAGCTTTCTTAGTCTCACAGACTCTCAGCTTTTTCACTGCTAACTTTCCACAGCATACGAGGCCAAGATCAGTCGTTCTACTATATTTAAGATATGAACTTCAACAGACTTAAAAGCGCTGATGGCACAGTTTTGGGCCCAGCTTAAATAGGCTGCAACACAGCACGTAACTATCTGGCCTCACGAAACTTCAACAGGCTCTGATGGAGGACAGATTATAAAACAAGAAAAAGCATAACCATTAAAGAAAAGACTCAGATCAACGTGAGGAATGATTACATAATGCCTGGTAGGGTAATGAATATTAATCCAGCGTGACTGGTTTGTGCACGACTGCTCAGTTTATATGTTTGTTTTAATATCGAAGTGAAAATCAGTATGAATCCTCTACAGAGAATTTACAATTACTTTTTGTTTGCTGAATTTAATATATTGGGAAAAACACATAAATGTGGGCTGTGCAAAAGTTATGATACATTTTATTATATAATAAATATTTTATTTATTATATAATAAATATATAATAAATATATATAAAATATATTATTATATTTTATGCTTTATTTTATTTCCAATGTTAAACTTAGCAAACAAATATAAATTGTGCACTAAAGTTTGTGATGTTTAAGTTTGTCCAAGTTTGTCTTGTTTCACCTAGAAAATTATTAAAGTAATGCAATTAAACCATGTAATAAAACAAAATATGCTGTGAAGGGGCCCATCAAATACAAGTAGAAATTTGTTTGATTTTCAAAAAATATTGATTAGGTAATTATAATTTATTAATTAATTATGTCATTTATTGTGCTATTTATTTTCTAATTGTCTACAACAAATTCTGTGCAAATCTAATTTTAGAATACATAACCAGCAAAAAATCACAGACATTTCTGTTTGCATGATGTTTATGAAAGTGTAGCTGGAATCTTTTTCTCAAGTTCATTTAAAAAACAAATGTAACTTGAGTACTGTTTTAAGATTCACTGCTTCACCCAAAGTCTTTTACGTTTCAATATGTGAAAATGGCTTTGATTACTGTAAAATGTACTAACACGCATCAGATCTTTAAATTGGAGTAAAAAGCTGCATTTGTCTTTCGAATCATTGCAGGGTAATTACAACAACACATACCGTATCACAAAGTAGAGGTACTCTATGAGTCTGCAGCTCTGAATTTAAACTGATCGCTGCGTGTTTGGTGATGGAGTTTTAGATTACGTGTTAAAAATGCCGGTGTCGTGGCCTTGCTCTTCATTCACTTTGATATTGCTCCTTTTTTTGCCGTAGTACAGAGACAAGTTCTTTGTCTTTGTCACAACTGTAAAAGTGCACTTTATTAAACTCTCTGTATAATGAAAACTGGCTTGTGTTTGAAGCTAGACTATGACAAGATAGGCGTTAAAAGCTGATAAGATTTGCCCACACTCGCACTTGTATTCACATTAAAAGAACATAGAGCAGGGGTGCACAACTCCAGTCCTGGAGGGCCGGTGTTCAGCACAGTTTGGTGAGTTACCTGCTCCAACCCACCTGTTTACACTTATCTGTTAATTGCCAGGTTGAGAGGGTGTGTTTGAGATGGGAAACCTCCAAACTGTGCTGGTCACTGGCCCTCCAGGACCAGGAGTTGTGCACCCCTGACATAGACTGTAAACTAATTTAAAATACTGAATATATATCGCTGCTGACGGAGCAAAACCTTGTATCTCCATTTTTGCAGTTTTTTAAGTTTTTGACATAATTTGAAAATACCAGTTGTTCTTTACATTGTGTGTAAATTTCATGACAAACGGATTAAAAAAACGGCCCAAAATGACTTGGGAAAAACTCTGGTTCCGTTGACTTGCATGTTTTTTCTTTCTCCTGTAAAGTTATGTTGCAAATACGAGGTTTTGTTCTGACAACAGCGACAAATATATATGTATATATATATATATATGTATGTATACATGAACCAACATGTGGGACTTTTTGCCAATGACACGGGTATCTATTGACTTCATTTTCATTCCTGATCTTACGCTGCTTTGCACAGCTTAAGCATTTCATCATGTATAAAGAGCTCTACTCACCTCATACTGGCTTTCCTCCTGCTGCGCTCGATTCTAGAATTAAAATGATACAGAAGTAAGTAAATTAAAACTTCATGAATGATGTAAATGAAATTCTTAGCAAATATGGAACAGAGATCATACGTAGAGGTCATATATGATACCGTGGGAGGTAATACGTGTTCAACATATCAACAATTTTTTAAACATTTCCAATGTTTCACATGGAATTTAGACCAATAATATAAAAAACACAAAGAAATAACATTCTAATCCATAAAAAAAAGTTATGTGCAGTAAAGTGAATTAAGACAGGAAAAATGTATTGAATACTATTAGAAAAAGCACTAAACCAGCTGATGTTAATTCAAATCAGCTGAGTTAGTGCAAGTTTGATAGGTTAGTACTTCACTCTTAGAAAAACTTCTGAATACAAGAAACAAATCATTTAGCACCAAGCTGTCACGCAGGAAACATCTCACGATCAGCAGAGGCAAGGAGTTCTCCCTTCGCGACAAGATAGAAGAGTAGCACAGCAATGGCACTGCTAAGTGACAAATTCCTCAACACATAAATGTTCCTATAAGCACCATCGGGGCCATTATCCACAGGTGGAACGAACATCACTCAAACAACAACGGGCCACACACAGGAGCTCCTTACAAGATTTCAAACAGAGAAGCCAGAAAGACCTGGAGACCAACGGGTACAGTTGTCACAGAAAAAACAACAGGCTGTGCATTCCACCACCCTGGTCTCCATTCACAATCACCCTAGAAGACTCCAATACTGAAGAAAAGGCACAGTGAAACTTGTTTGAAGTTTGCCACAGAGCATTTGGAGGAGCCTGTAGAGCACTAAGAGAATGTAATATGGTCAGATGGGAGACATATGCATATGCAGCCCCATGCCATGATGCTTCCACCTCCATATCAAGTTTTGATTTCTCTTCTCATGGTACTGGTTAGAATCCAAATTACGGAAGGGTAGATGAATGGAGCTATGTACCGAAAAATTCTTGAGAAGAATGAGGATGACACCTTTCAGCAGCACAGTGATCCAAAACATACTGCAAAGGAGACTCTCAATTCATTCACACATAGGAAGAAAATTATGGTGTTTGAATGGTCCAGTCAGTTACCAGATTTACCCCAAAAGTAAATCGGAGAAAGGAACTGAAGACTGAAGATTCACCAGCGGGCTCTCTGTGTAAAAGAATGGGCCAAAATCCCACCTAAACACTGTGAGATATCAGATTCTTTGTACAGGAAGCTTCTTCAAACTGTCACTGCAAGCAAAGGCTTCTCCACGAAGTATTAAACAAATTCACTGTGTTCACTGTAGTTCACTGTATCATTCCACTTTACAGCACATAACTTTTTTATGGATTGGAACGTTATGATTTGCTTAGCTGTGTCATTTTATTGAGTTAATCCCAATGTCTGGTCTAAATTTCATGTGAATAGCTGCATTAGAAAAATCTTTATTACATTTTTTAATAGTTATTTCACCCACTGTACTATTTAAAATGCTAAATATTTGCTAATGTTTGTAGCAAGAGGTGCGAGTTTTGTCATGCTTCATGATGACAGAGTCTGTACGGAAAGCACAATCACTGAAGTGGAACTGATTCTACATGAAATAATATGTCGATCTTACACTGAAAAAAGTGATCTACTGAATTTATGTCATTCAAATATATACACGATTTCTACTTTAAGAAATGTTACAACAGGACAGCAAAAAATAAAGACAAAACTGTATGTAATGATGTAATATACCGTACTGTGCAATAGTCAAAGACCACCCTTCATTTATTTACTTTCCTGTCAAATAGTCATTAAGTACAAGTTCATTTTTTCAGGACGTATATCTGAGACAGAAGGTAGTCCACTTGCATATAGAAGGCAAAAGTCAGATGAAAACAAGTGAAAAGAAGGAGAGAGTGCAAACAGACGAAAAAGAAGAAAACTTGCAAATCAAACAAAGAAGGTGCCATCTTGGACTGTCCACCCCAGAGTCCAGAACTCAACATAATTGAATGTGTTTATGTGGATCAAGAGAAGCTGAAAATATAACCAAATTCTAAGACTGAACTTTGGAGGTGTGGGAAAATATCCCTGCAGATTTCTTTGAAAAACTGAAAGAAATTCTCCTGAAAAGAATGGAATGTTATAAAAGTGAAGAGTGGATACATTAAATAATGAAAAAATAGATTTCATATTTCGTTATTGAGGCTTCTGTGTAATTTGCTGTTAAATGTTATCTACATATTGACTGGAAGTGTAATAAACGAAACGTCGTCTCTGACTTGTGCACAGTACTGTATTTTATTAATGTGGAGATGATGTACATCAAGTAAATTCAATGCATCCCTGTACAAGCTAATACAATCCATAGTGATGATGTATTACGTTCACAAAAGATGCAAAAAGCATCGCATTCAGCTCACCCGTCTAACAGGCCCACCAGCCTGGCTACGTTGAGGCTCCAGTGTTTGATAGTCATCTGCAATTTGATCAGTTTTCAGACCCTGATGAGAACAGAGAAAGAAAGTCAAGAATAACACACACACACACACACACACACACACACACACACACACACACATACTGCATATTGTCAAAGCCTTATATTGTCAAAATGATAACTTTATACGAGAAGGAGAACGGTTTTGTAACTATATGTTAATATAACAAGACTTTATTCCATATAATTTTGGAACATTTCTTTTGGTCTGTCTGTTGTGAAACATTCACACAATGTAAAGGGCAGCTGGCAAAAAAAGAAAATAATGAGGTTTCAATGTGACAGCAATGGCATACAACTAAACATACGGCGGGGAATCTGAATGCACTGATAGCAAACTTTCATTTGAATCTTAAACAAAAATACACAGCCTTGCAGAGCACCTGCTGCACCAAGAAAACCACACGAACAGAAACTCACCTCATAGAGAGGCTCGGCTGGTGTGGAGTTATCAGACTGTAGCCTTGAAAACTAAAATGTACAAGAGAAAAATGTTCAGAACACATCGCAGGACAACGCGGCGATAATGCTTATCATCAGTGCAGATGTTCATATGACAGTCTCACTTTTATCCTGAAGTAGAGCGCCGTGAAAATGATGCAGTAAAGCAGCAGAACTGCATCCAGGACGTAGCAGGTGACGGGGTCACTCAAACTCATGGCCTCTACAGAGAGAAAGAACAGAGGACACTATTGAGACAAACTAATTACCTAGACTAACTAGGTAGACATACATAAGTTGAAAATTGTCTCTAGCTTCCTTTGGTAAGGGACAGTCTGTGCTCTATTACTGTGTCAAAAATGATATCCAAGGCATCCAAGTACTTACTCAGTTAAAAGTGGAAGTATGAGACAAAAAGAATACTTTAGCCAAAGTCAAAGTCAAAAAGTAGCTACATTTAAACATAAGTAAGATAAAGATTTTTTGCCTATCTTAATTCTTTTTAATTCCTTAGATTTTTTAAAATGTCTCTATAATTCAACAGCAGAGATGTAAACAAAGTCATTCAGAGTGTTCTAATGTCAAATGTTCATTGTAGAGAAACTTACTGACTCAAACTTCTTAACATGATTATGATATGAACAAGGACTCGCTATGTCTACGCAACACAAATATAGCTATTAATTTACTATGAATAACAACCAGAGAACCTACATGTGTCTTCGGAGTTTTATATGTAGTGTCGATGATGGTAAAACAGTGGTAAATCTGAAAAAAAAAAAAAAATTCTCTGAGTACTATTTTGCCTTTCAAGTTTTAAAAATATGTTTTAGGCCACATCTTATCTCAAAACTATCGTCAAACACTGTTTCATGCACGAGGCAGCGCACCCGTAACCACTTCATGTAATCAATTTTGGTGAGTTAGCTTTTAGAGGCATTAATCTCTTTTGATGTCTGGTTCCTTTCACCATCACTGTGAACAGGTAAGTTTCTCTAGAGGAGCACATTTGACATCAAACCATTATTAATGACGCTGTTTTACTGACCTTAATGATTTAATTACACAGAATTATAGAACAACTGGTGGAATTCCCCATAATATTTTGTAAAACTCAAACTCATTTAAATCCTAGGCTGAGCTTGGCATGCAGGCATGTGCTGCTGCATTGCACAGCATTATCCTTTACTCAGTGTCCTGAAGTAACACACTGCACTCCTGCTCCTCACCTTCCTCAGCAACGTAAGCCATGACTGTGCTCTGGTCACTAATGGTTGGTACTGGTACACAAAAATGAATTTGCACAGTTGTGGGCTTTATTTTACACTGATATGGATTTGACTGGACATTTTAAATAAAAACTGGGGAACCTGACTGATTGGCATCAGAAAAATACAAACAAAAAAATGTGTTGGCCTTTGAGATTCGTAATGAGTACTCTGAAGATCTGATTGAAGACATAAATGTTCTCTTGGAAATGAAATTAAGTAACATTATAAGTGTTTTAACATGCATTTCAAATACTTGATTAAAGTACAAACCTTACGTATTAATACTTAAGTACGGAAACACACAGTCATACATGCAGAAGTTTGAACACTCAAATTATATGTTTTGTTGATTTTCTAAGTTAAAATAAATACAATAATAAGTAATAATAAATAAGTCTTTTTCCTACATTTTCTATTTTTTTTTTTTTAGTTTAACACATTAGGAAAAAGCATAAATATTAAATGTGCCATAACATGTTAAATTCAGCAAATAAACAGTAATTGTGCACTAAAATGAGCAGGAGTTTGTTCTCTGTGTGTTTACATATTTTTTCGTAGTAAATCAACAAAACGTGTGACTGGGGTGCCAAAACGTTTGCATACAACTGTATGTAGTAACATACAATTACTAAAGTAATTTCCAGTCCTGAGGAGGATCACATAAATCAAATAGCGACTTTTTACTTTACAAGACCAAAGCAATAATAAACAATAAATAACTAAAAAAAATGACTGAAAAATTTTACTCAATCCACAACAACCAGCACAACTGCATGAAGTGAGTTAGTTTAGTCCTTTTCTGATTTCAAATCTTTAGCACCACTTCAGCAGTGGTTTTGAGAATGGCACAAAACTAGACGCCATTTATAACAAATTACAACCTTGTAATTTTAATATAAAGTCAATTCAGGAATTGGGTGGGACCGATATAACAAAATTATAACATCACAACACAAAGACATTTATGTATATATGCATATGTATATGTATCATGATGTTTAGTTTTTCTCAGGTTCGAGAACAATTTAAATGGACAAAATGCAAAACAAAAGTGCTGCATTTAAAAATCCAAAACAAACTATGAGTCCAATGACTTTTAAATGCATTCAACATTTGCAAAAGGAGAAAATCAAACTAGAAAAACTATAACTGGTTTTTGATCTAAATTGTGATCAATGATACATGCAGTTGTTTTATGTAGAAGTAGGGGAAAGCGGGGCACAACCAAACGCAGGATAAAATGTAAGTGAATATTTTATGCAGTTAGACAAGCTCAAGTGGAATATGCTTCTGATCAGCTTCTTGTATTCACACAGATACTTCTCAAGATTCATCCTTAACACTATTTTTATATCATGAAAGTAACTTTTTTTTGGATTACTGAGGTGTGTGTATTACAGAATTCACACCTTGGCTGTAAAACAGCACCATCTGAAGCATGCGAAAGACTCACAGAGAGAGCTTACCAGGCTAAAGTGCAGACTTCACACTGTAGGGTTAGTTTTAATATGCTGTTACAACTAAGCCTCCCAAAGTAAACAATGGGAGCAGTTAATATCTCCCATATAAATTCGAAACCTTTAACTTTTTGGAAGTTTTATGCAAAGAATAATCCATAATATACTACAGAAAAATATTGTCGCTGTAGGAACAAAATCTTATATCTTCGAAATTGTAACTTAACAGGAGATAGAAAAATACATTCTTAACTTTCAAAGTCATTTTGGGCATTTTTTTTGGTCCATTCATCATTAAAACGTAACACGAGGTAAAGAGCAGCTGGCGCGTTCAAATTTTGTTAAAAAATCTAAAACATCAAAAAATGAGATACGAGGTTTTGTTCTGACAGCAAGAACATATTTAAATTAAACTTCGTTCAAATATTTGCTCAGTAATAAATTTTCCAGAGTTTGACACGGCCTCTTTTGCTAATCATGTAGATAATCATTTAGTATTTAGGTTTGAAAATTTGTCTGGTTCAAATTAATTTAGTTGCATAAATTACCTTTTTAGCAACTGTTACAGCTAATAATCCCTCAGTGTGTTACAATTAACTCCACCTGTGATGTAAAGTGTAACATTTGCATTCCTACTACCTTCAGATGAATTCTTTATGTACATTCTTTATGCTTCTATTTTTAGCAGAAATTTGCAGGTTGCTTGTATTAAAAATGTTGTTCTTGATAAAATAATAAAAAATGTTATGTTGTGGCCTGTTTTCCCCTCCTGATGATACATACACTATTTATCAAGATAAGGATGTTGCTCACTCTTAGAGTAAATATGAACTAATATACTAACTAAATACTGCAAATACTTTATTAAACTTTATTCATCTAAACTTGCTTCAGTGTAAACAAGGGCAAACATACCCTTTACTCAGCACTCATGAAATAACTATCAATATTTTGTCAATTCAACTTTAAAAACATTCCAAGCCAAGTTAATATTGAAAGATGTGCCCTGCAGAATTACAGTCAGTGAGATTTTGGGAAGAAAAAAGCTGAGATGAGCAGAAAAAAGTGGCTGTTTACTCTTAGTCACAAAGTGACTGGACAGCAGAGACAAAATCTCTTCCTGTTGTTATGAAAATCATGCAATTACGCTGAGACTCCAAAAGCACAGCCAGTAGAGCACTTAGCACAAATTCTATCAGTTTTCATGTTAAAACTGCATTGAAAATGAGAAGCAAAGGCTCGGCATGTGATGAGAAATAAATAACAACGGTGAGAGAAAGTCACTTTACTGGTAAGCGTGCGTGTCTTCCTGTCAGAGGCTTGTCTGGGGCATGTATCTCTGTGGTCAGAGCTTGAGTGTACTTCAGAATCTAGTTCAGTGGGTTCTCTGTATGAGGTGCGCGGTGCAGCGCCTGAGGGGAGGGGAGGAGTTCCTGGGGGGTCCTAATATACCACTGCCGTTCAAAGTCACTGTTAATAGTGGCTGGAGGCTGGTGGTTACAAACTGGCCACATACTGATCAGTAATATGATAGAATCAGACACGATTATGTTTTTCTCACATGACATTAAAAACACAGATCACACGAAGTATCAAATCTGGGAAATTGTTGTCATGCTTAAGTTCCATCGTTCTGAATGTAAGCAGAAATCGTTTTGCAGGTTAGCAAAAAATGTTCTGTAAGTCTGTGCAGTAGTTCACATTTAGATTAAAGTGGAATTCCACCAATTCTTATTTTTTTTTCATAACTCAGAAATTGAGATGTAATCAAAAGCATTCAGAGTAGTTTGATGTGAAATGGTTCACTGTAGAGAAACATGCCAGCTCAATTTTCTTTACAATGGTGGTGATAGGAACCAGGGGTCACAATGTCCACAATGTAAATACAGCCATTTTATTTACTATCAGTGGACCTACAGGTGTCTTCTGCGTTTTTACACATGATGTTAATAAATACAAAATAGAGTTATTTTGGTACTATTTTGCTATGACTATTTCTGTGACACAAAAGCATTTAAATAACATATGTTTTACTGTTGTTTGTTGTGGTATTTATTTATTTTTTTACTTAGTTAGTTTTCATACACAGAGATGCACTTTAACAAACATTTTTGTGCCCATTTAGCCAACTTGGCTAATTTTCAACCCTAGCTCTTAAGCAGGTACAAGAAAACAAACGCATTTATCAAGGCTTATTAAATTACATACAAATTATATACACTGTGGTGATACATGCAGTAATACAGCATATAATTCAGACTCAATGCCAGCTTTTAGCCATGATTTTAAATTAGCTGAAGAAGAGCCAAATGTAGGCCATTCTCTTATCTGTACAGGCAGCTCATTCTAAGTTTGAGCTGCTCTGACTAAAATAAGACTGTCCAAAGGTCGACTTCCTTACAGGTATCACTACATCTCTTGTCACTGATCTAGTGAATCTATTTCCAGTTGTCTTACTGCAAGCAGTGATGAGGCGCCAACCATACAGGATCTTATATAGAGGAGAGCAGGGCATAACCTAACACATTTTTTTTTGCTGTTTTTTCTTAAGAAAAATCAGTCATTTTATGTTCTACAACAAAACCTACACATCTCTGCTACAAATTATTTAATTTCCAGCGTCTACTATTTCTTGAACAATTCACCTGAAAGAAGCGTGAGTGCACAGGTTACAGCTTATCCCACAGGTGGGATTAATTGTAACTGACAGAGTAGCTAGTTTTAAAAGTCTGGTAAAACGATGCACAACACAATTAATTCAACACAATTTGATGTGGCTTAAACCAGACGAGCTTTCCAACCTAAATATACATATAAATATAAACATAAAAATAAACATGATGAGGCTGTGTCAAACATAGCAAATTTATTTTGACTGCAAAGTAGAAGAAGAAGAAATATTAGCAAAATGAAATTAATCTATAGAGCACGTCTGATGAATATGTGCACATATTCATAAAAATAGTGGACTGCTCTAATTGTTTACTTTTGGAGGCTTAAGGCCTGCGCACAGTGGACATGCCATATCATGCAGCATCCAAAAATTCAAAACCATTATTTTTAATGGAGGTCAAACACCAGCACAGACACTCCGTGTGGATGCAGGCTGGCACTCGGCGACTCCGAGCACTGTTATTCCTCAGCATGTCACGGTGCACTACGCAGCAAAATGTACGCAGAAAAAGGCAGTCAGCCAAATGCTAATACTCAGCTTACCTCAGCTAACATTACTGTTCCAGCCTTTTTCAGCTCATATTTTTCACCTCGAAAACAGCGAGTCTGTGAAAAGGTAGTAATCTGATACCAAGCATGATAAGTGACACTGAAAGTTTTACTCCATTCAAATTATACGAGTAGAGTATAAAAATGAACTTGCCTGGTGTTTATCGGCTGACTCTCCCTGCCACTGCTCTGCCACCTGACGCTACCTAAAACAATGCAACGCTGCGCTGCATGTTTAACACTAAATCACTAAAACTAACCCCGCTGTGTGGAAGCTGTACTTTAGTCGGGCTAACTCTCTCTGACAGTTATTTACATGCTTCAAAACAGTGCTGTACACAGCCACCAACAAGAGTAATTATTTTTATGGTTCAAAAACAGTCCTCAGGCTGAATCTTGAGAAATATCTGTCACAGATATAGAAGTTCCAAGATGAAGTTGCTATGGGAACATGAGAAGGTGACCAAAAGCACGTTTTACTGGAGCCTCTCTGACTACACAAAAAAATCCATGCTGCATTTTACCCCGCGTGTGTGCCCCACTCCTCCCTACAAGACACGTAACTCTAAATTTAAATAAGTTGTCCCAGTTTAATGTTGTGATGTTTTATACAGTAGCAGTGTTGGAACTATTGAATGTTCTATCAAGCACTTTAACAGCCCAACAATAAACCGACTGTATAGGTCTAAGCGTTGCGCTGTAGAAGCTACAAAATTATCGGTTAGCAGCAAGAAGCCAGAGAATGAGAACTATGGCTAGTGATGCAGGACAACTTCTGAAGCAGAAATCAGAGAGATTTAAAATGAAAATTCATTGTAAATGAGAGGCAAGCGAGCGTCTGTTAGTTACCTTTGTGAATGATCCGAGCAGAGAAATTGCAAAAAGCTGCGAGGGAGGGTTTTATTAAATGGAAAGATGCAGACACTCTCAGTGCATTAGACCACAGACTTGTGGTTAGAAGATACTGCTGCGGGTGTAGTTGATGAGTTTAGTTTAAAAGTTAAATTTGACATTTTTATGTTCTCATAGACTATACAACACATGTATAATGAGAGAGATTACTTTTATTCAATCTGTTCCTTATTTACTCAATAAATGGTTGTAATGAAAATATTGTTTTTGGGGCATACTTGAATTATAAGTCTTATTTGCATTTGTTTTATTCAGTCATTATTTATGCACCTCCCCAGACAGCCACACCCTGTTTAGAGCACATTAAACAACATATTAAAAATATGGTTGAGATACAACCAATAAAAGGCTACATTTTTGAGTGAGTTGTGCAAAAGATGATACATAATACAGTTACGCACTACAGCTGCATTGCTTTATAAAAGTCGTTTGACATCAAATGCACTCCAAGACAGAAGTTAGGGTTTTTTTTCCAGTGGCAGCAAAAGGAGTTTCCAGTGTGAGGTAATCAACAGAGAGAACAGCATGAGACACATTATTAACAGTCAGCAAGGATGTAATCTAAGGTGGCCCCACTAGACGATCATTGATAAAGCTGTATGCTGCATTCATTTAACTAACATGCAAATTAAGCTGTATTTCATGTCTAAAGTTGAAGTGAAATGAAGAATAGTGAAGAATGAGACAAGAATATCATAAATACAGAATAATTCTAGAAAATAAATTAGAATATTGTGAAGAGTTGGACTTTTCACAATATAGACACAGTTTTGCATTTTATACATCGTACAAAAAGAGTATCTCCAAAACAGCAACTTAGAAGTTTTATTCCAAGTAATTTTGGGCCATTTCAATTGATCTATTCATTATGAACACACAATGTAAAGGGCTGCTGGTGGTTTCAACATATGTCAAACAATGAAAAATGACAAAAAGGAGATATAAGTTGAAGATTGAAGTACAATGTTGTTTCTAACATCTTTTTTTAAATGTAGGTCTTTTGATTACATTATTATCAGCTGTGTTTAGCAGCTGCTAATTAGTTCCAACTGACATATCTTTGCTTCTGGGCCTAAGGTTATGGTCTCTTGGTGAGGGCCAAAGCCACCCCTATAGCAGGAAACTGACTGCACTGTTTACACTGTGTTTTGTTGCTTTGACCACAATGCGTTCAATGTTTAAAATCATTTGATCCACAATAGGAACAGGTTGGCAGAATTGCTGCTTTAGGTGATGGAGTACGATACTCACTGTAAGGATTTACATAAAAACATGAATATGAAGATGAATACACACATACACATATTTTGCAGCTATGGCATATTACAATTCTGCTATACGTGCATGCAGTATATGTAACTTAACCTCTTAAATCTCAGGTGAATTGCATCCTAGAGATCATGCAGTAACTATATGGACAACATTGCAAACTCACTCAATTAATCCTAAATTATGTAATAAAGACTGGGACTTGCTGGCGGTTCCTGGCCTTTTAAAGGGTTAAACAGATTGTGCAACCCTGGTAACCTTGTTTGGCGATTTCTAAATGAGTGGAGCTACAAATCAAACCTTTCTAGACTGTTTATGGGTAACTTTCTCTTTTACCTCTTTTACAGTGGAAGGAAATAACAAAGGCTTTTGTTCAACTACAACATAAAAGCTAAAAGCAACATCAGATCACATGTGCTGTGATATCAGAGTGACAGTTGAGACTCAGGGTAACTGTGTTGCAATCTCTTCATTTTATGGGTTAGGCACTTTTTTCAAACAGCTTCTTGCTGGCTGTGCGGAAGAGACTTGATACATCTTGCTTACTTCACAGATTTAGAAGCAGTTCTTTATAACAAAAACCATGTCCGATGTTAAGTCCTGCAAAGTTCTCCATATGTAATAGAACTAAAAGTGTACAGCAAAAACCAAAAAACTGAAAAACGTAGTCGTTATGATTTTACATACAGAGCAGGGCGGGAGCGTATGATAAGTACAAAGAGGAATACATTTTCTCTGACCTGTGGAGGAGAGCAGTAAGGCCAGGCACAGCAGGGTCACTGTCCTGAAGACTGCCATCACATTCCCCTGGGATTCCAGAAAGATATCAGGTGGTCTTTATTCCGTAGCTTGGCCTGGCTGAGGGGCTGTGTAGAAGTCTGCCTTGCGCATATGTCGGCTTGTAGAGTCCCTTTGCTAACAGGAAATGGCCCCAGCACTCGGATCTGCCTAGTGGTGGTTCTCTAAGGTCTCAAAGCTCCCACCTCAGCACCTTCGGTCCTCTCATCTCAACACCTTTGTTGCCAGCACTTCCTGTGTGTTTGTAGACCAGTTATACATGCACACAGTGTCGGTCTGTACTCAATGACAGATGGAACGTAACTTCATGAAGGTCAAAATCTGGAAAAGAGGTATGTAACACGGTATATCATTTATTCACTTATTTATTTTGGATGAAATTACTATTTCTTTGAATTTTTATTTATTTAGGAAAAAGTAGTTTTTGCAAAAATACTGTATATTTCAACTGTCTAGTTATTGCAGCTCAAACCTGTCAAAGCTTTATTGTAAAATAAAATGAATATTTTCATTTTCAATTCAGAACAAGTCTAGATCAGAGTTACAGGTAAAGAAGGAAAAGCATTACATAGAGTCATGGGCAAAAGTTTGAACATCCCTGGTTAAAAGTTAACAGATCACCCTTTAAAGGGAACAAACTTGAAAATGGCATTTTTCTGCTACTTTTAATGGAGAGTTTCTGTTTTTTCAACATACTGTGAAAAAACAAAACAAACATATAAGACAATTATATATTAAGAAAAACAATAAAATATGCCATAACTTTTACACAAGCCACATTTTATGTTTTTGTTTTTTTTGTGGTAAATTAAGCAAATAAACAGTAATTATGCATTATAATCGCAGAGATTCTCTGCAGGGGATGTTTTGACTTATTTTCACTAAGAAAAATCCAAAAAAACATCTCAGGGGTGCCCAAACTTTTGCACATGACTGTAAACGTTAAGCTGCCACTTTATTAGGCATTACTCTCTAGGTGTACCTAATAGCTGACTTTGGCCCCACTGTAGCATTCAGAAATGACTTGACTGACAGTCATGTACCCAGTAGAGACTTTATTCCTTATTACCTTTATTGGATTCTATCATGAGTGAGTTGACTTTGACCAAAGAAAAGGTGTTAGGTGGATGTTTTTAATCTACATTTATAAGTGCATTTGTGCCAAGCTTTATTTATTTGATAGGAACAGAGTCCCTAAAGCAGTAGATTTTCTGCTCCTTTAAAACTTCCCTACCTAACTCAGATGTAGCGCGTCATGTCTTCGCTTTACATTCACTAAACGACCAAAAGTATGTGGACACCCGAATATTATACCTATATGTATTTGTTAAATTACTAACTCCAAAACTATAATCATTAATACAGGGACAGATTTAGTGATTGTGGGCCCCAAGCAAAAGCTAGGAATGGAGCCCCTGGATGCAGATTTTTAAATTAGTGGTCTCCTGAATGGTGTAACCTTCTATGCTGCAAGAAAGGCTGTCTTAAATCTAGTCCATATATCTAATTTATATCAATATATCTATTTCTCATTTTAAGACTGTTGTAAGATATTATTAGTTTATTTAACTTATGCCAAGACATTTTTACTCAACTTCATTAAGTGAAATTATCTCAGTATGTATGCAGATAATTTTGCTTGTCTTAAGAAATATGGGTCAGTTACCCCTGTGTCCCTCTGAATGTGCCTGTTTCTTCCCCTGTGTTGTTGCCATGTGCTATTGTTTTTGTTTTGATTTCTTTGCTCCACCCCTTTTCCCACTTTCCTTATTAGGATTCCTTCCTGTCTGTAGTTCCTGACTCCTCCTGCCAGGTGTTCCTTATTGTTTCTATCTACATCTAAGCCTTTAGTTTCAGCCCTTGACTGTCTGGTCGACGTTGTTATATGTAACAGTCACGTGTCTGCCCCGGATTTGGTTTGCTCTGTGGTTCTTGGTTTAAAGGCTTGCAGTATATTTAGTATCATTCTCAGTGATGGTTCTAACTTGTTTTTGTTTCATTAAAGTTTGTCGTGTTTGCACCGGCCTCATTACTCTCCACACATATGTTTCCAAAACTATTTGTCAATAAGATGAGAATTTGGTCCAGAGAAATATGGCAAAGTAATGAGATCACGATTTTCACAATAAGTAATAAGTAACATAATCTCACTTATTACATTTTGAGAGTAGGAACTTGTAATGGATTACTTTTTTGAGTGATTACTGGAAAACTGGAGTGAGTAATCTATACATTATCATCTATACATTAACATTAACTCTAGCAGTATGTATGGCCTTTTGAGATTGTTCAGCCCTCCATTCTGATTGTAAAAATGTAGTTACCTTTTGCTTTCCTCTCTATTTTTGTGTTTTTTTTTCTGCACTTAGAAGACTTTGCTTGATTTGCTGTCAGCACTCAGATCACACAGATAAAACCTTTTCTCCATTATGTAGACTATCGCCTAACTGTCTTGCTCATACCAGTCTGTCTTTCCGCAGTTGCCATTACATAACAGCATGGAATAGTGCATTATAACCATGACTGGGGGGCTGCATTGAAGTTAATGAAAATAATCATTACAATCACACATAACAACTTTTTTTTTTTTTAAATATTTTTTTTTCAAAATAGGTTACTTAACATCAACATGTGCAGTATATCTAATTTTTATTTTCATTAAGCTCTTGGCTCATGGGGATCCTAGGCATCTGCCTACGTTTAGCGTAATGCAAATAATGAAGAGTTTGTCCCCCTTTGCTGCAGTAACAGCCTCCACTCTTCTGGGAGGACTCTCCACTGAACTGTGGAACATGGCTGCAGGGACTGGCTTCCATTCAGCTGCAACAGCATTAGTGAGGTCAGGCACTAACACCAGGGGGGTCACTAGTGATTTATGTTGTTGTGTTTTACAGCAACGGACAAGAGGCATAAAACTGATCAAAAAACATGACTATTTGGCAAAGCTGGCATGCAGAAGATCTGTCTTTTCATAGTTAGTATTAGGATCTAATACAACTTAAACTCTATCCTTCCACGTACAGCAGGCACAGACCAAGAAAACGTACTGAAGACAAACAATGCAATCTCCTCTAAGGTGCAGGTCCTAAATGTCTTATTCAAATACACAGACTGTAGATGAGTACCTGATCAGATCTGCTCCTTCAGTCCTGTCAGTGTCCCTCAGTTTCTTTCTCTCCCTCTCCTTATTATTTTTTTTTACTAAACTCAGATTTACAATAACTCAAGGCGTAAAACTTAACTGGCAAAAATCTTCTTACCTGACTGTGTTCAGTGGAGCCTCTCTTACAGAAATGTCCATCTACATGTTGAGGGACTGAGGGATATAAAACTGTGTCATGATCAACACTGTATGACCTTTTTACTGACTTCAACTCACTGTAAACAGTCTGTGGCTACTGATGTGATTGTTCCAAATACTGAAGAGAAATACGAAAACAATGACATAAAGAGCTGTCAGTGATGTTATTTCTATCTCTTTCACTCGTTTACTTTCAATATCTGTGAAGTTTCTTAGACTAAAATAGCTCTTCGGCTAGTTAGCTAATCCTAACGTTACCTCACAAAACCTGAAGTTAAGCTAGCTAACAAGCAAACGGTAAAATCTCAATAGTCAGGTAAACTGACCACAGATTGACACAAATTCGTTTTGAAGGCGGGTATCTTCACTCTGTAACTACTTACTGTTTCATTCTGTAGCTGTATTATATATTTTAATAAGGCCTAATTTTCATTTCGGTGAGCTTTCAGCCAAAATCCTGTCACAACTTCAGCGGTTGCTGACCCTGTAGCGCGAGTAACACCGGAGACCCTCCCACAGGTCTTATATGATTGGCTTACACAACTTGCAATGTCTGATTTGATTGGCTGACATGTTGCGAGGTCTGATATGATTGGCTGAGCAGGCCGTTACACCTCACCCCACTGCTGAGCATCGTCTTCTCCACTTTTGTTAGAAAATCCGAGGCAGGCCCTCCCAGTTCGGTTTAAGAACATGTCATGAATCTGAAACAGACTTTTTCTTAGGACCTTTCTCAAGAACAAATTTAGGAAAAAACTTAGGAAGATGTTGGAGAAGAAGGCCCAGTGTTCTCTATGCATACATTACTGCTGAATCTTTCACACTTTGTCTATGTACTTTTCCCTTCCTCATTTGGGTAAAAAAAAAAAAAACTGTGAACACAAAAATAGAAGAGTCTGGTTTCACGAGTCATTAGCCGTTTACCCGTCCTCCTGTGGTGAAAAGATCCCAGATGAAACAGAATGGCACTCATTTTGTTTGTGCATGTATTTTTTGGCATATCACCTCTGATAGCACTTTTTTGTGTCCAGGTCCTCTAAGAATAATGCAACATTTAACTGGACAGTGAAAGTAAATGGTGTGATGGTATCAGTTCAGTTTGAGTCCCTGTTCTTGTCTTTGGACTTAGCAGGTATGAACAAATATGCAAACTGTCTGTGCAAGAGCAGCAGCCTCTTTAGTAGTCTCCACACTATTAGCCTATCATCAGGTCCTAAATGTCTTATTCAAATACACAGACTGTAGATGAGTACCTGATCAGATCTGCTCCTTCAGTCCTGTCAGTGTCCCTCAGTTTCTTTCTCTCCCTCTCCTTATTATTTTTTTTTACTAAACTCAGATTTACAATAACTCAAGGCGTAAAACTTAACTGGCAAAAATCTTCTTACCTGACTGTGTTCAGTGGAGCCTCTCTTACAGAAATGTCCATCTACATGTTGAGGGACTGAGGGATATAAAACTGTGTCATGATCAACACTGTATGACCTTTTCACTGACTTCAACTCACTGTAAACAGTCTGTGGCTACTGATGTGATTGTTCCAAATACTGAAGAGAAATACGAAAACAATGACATAAAGAGCTGTCAGTGATGTTATTTCAATCTCTTTCACTCGTTTACTTTCAATATCTGTGAAGTTTCTTAGACTAAAATAGCTCTTCGGCTAGTTAGCTAATCCTAACGTTACCTCACAAAACCTGAAGTTAAGCTAGCTAACAAGCAAACGGTAAAATCTCAATAGTCAGGTAAACTGACCACAGATTGACACAAATTCGTTTTGAAGGCGGGTATCTTCACTCTGTAACTACTTACTGTTTCATTCTGTAGCTGTATTATATATTT